TATATTTTCACGATGGCAGGCTTTGATGTGAATTTTTGAGGAGGAACGCCATTGTCCAGCTGAAGATCCTTGATCCTTGAATGGTTTGTAGTCGAAATCCGTAGAAGTATATGGCTTAATTGATATCGTTCCTGGATGGCTTGGTGTAATGCTTGAAAACAAGTCGACATGTACTCATCACATCAATGATATTGCTAGTAAGATTCCAAAATCCATCGGTATAATACACAGACTCAAACACATTTTTCCCACTTGAATTCTTCGTACACTTTATCGCTCTCTCATTCACTCCTGCCTAAAAAATATGTAATATAGTCTGGGGAAACACATTTCATGAACACATTATCAACTGTTCATTCTTCAAAAGAAAGCCATTCGTTTCGTCTCCAAATCGCATTGCACTGCTCACACGGATCCTCTGTTCAAACAACTCAAACTACTCAACCTTTAATAGAAACATTAATGTATCATCAGAATATCTTTATGTACAAATGCTTTAACAAACACCTCCCCACCCACTTCCAAACACTCTTTCAATTTAAAGGGAAGATACAACATTTGCAAACATCAAAAAACGAAATGATCAAGTTATCACAAAATACCTTACTGAATTGTTAGGGAATGAAAGTCTAAAGCATCCTTTAAAATTGTGGCATCTGGTGTGCTGACATTTTTAAGAAAAACTGTATTTTTCCAACGCTGGTCGGCCGACCAGCGCTGGAGAAAACTGGCTTTTTTTCAAAAACTGTTCCTAATTGTTCATATTTAGTTATTCTGGCTTTTCTTTGCAATCGATTACACACCTGTGCAGGGGTAAAAGCCTGCTAGACTGATTCTCTGACCTTACAATTCCTTAAAGTGTATCAATTGCTCTGTTTCATCTTAAGTGGGGTCAGGGAACCAGACTACAAGAACATGATAGGTTTTCTTGGTTTTTCCAGCATCTACAAGCCCAAAACGTGAAACAATTTAGTGTAACAATATGTACTCTAACATACTGATCCTCCAAATCCATTTATTTCTGAAAATTGCAGCGAAAGAAAATGTTGCACATTCCCTTTATTTACAACATCCATATCTACAACACAAGGACTTCTATACTAACATTCATCTTCCTAAACATAGGACACAACTTGTTCAACACGCAAATTGATATACTGGCGCAATCAACTGGTACAAACTTCCCTATCATATCAAAAACTCAACTTCAAAACTAAAATTAAAATGCGCCTGTACAACTGCTCTTTGTAATAAATCTGTATTACCTAACACTGAGTTTGTTTAATCCTTATTATGTTATTTTATTGTATAGTATTCTAGGCCCGTAATAATTTAATATTTGTTTGTATGGTTTTTTTTCTTGACTCAATGTTTTGTTTGTCCGAATGTTTTTGTCTGTTGCTGTCCGTCTGTTCGTTTTGTCTTGTATGGCATCCCCAGCTCAAGCAACCGCTTTAATACCGGGACATGCCTCCATTTTCATCTTTGTTAATTTTAAGTAAATATTTAAAACACATGTACTCTTGTTTGAGTATACACCAATTGTTAATCTATATTTTGCTGTAGTTTATGAACTGTGAAATGGAATATGAATTAATTGAATTAAATTGAATTGAACGGGTCAGTAGTTTGATATAAATTATGAGGTAGGAAAAGCTTGCTAGAGTTTCACTCCATCGGCGCGATGTCAGTGCCGGCCGAAAGACGCGCGACGCGAAACAATAATGAGACAGAATATGGACGAGCCTGGTAATGCTCGTAGTGACTCTGAATAGTCAACTGCTCGGTACATAAGAATGATTGTAGAAAAGAGTTATGTAACGGCATTTATTTGTGTAGCGCGGTGCGGCTTTCGCACCTCTCGAAAAACAAGTACTCGATCCAACTGCGGAAATAAGGATTGTTTCTTTTAAACTCTAGGAGAAAAGCACCTCCTGAAATAGCCTAGTTGTTAGGCTGTCTGACAGCGGACCCAGAGTTAGGGGTTCGAGCCCACGCAGTGTCATTTTTTGGTTTTATATATGCACGCGGCTTTGTCATTTAATTTAAGAGTATTAATTTCCCGTCGTAATTCACCAACAGCAGTTAGCTCGGTCGGTCGGTAAGCTGACTCACAAGTTGGGACTGTCTGCGAAGTCCAGGTTGGCGTCTGCGTATAGGTACGGGGTTCTTTTGCTGACTCGGCAGCAAGGCTTAGGGTGCCACCTCGTTTCCTCCCTTTATGGTGCCTGACTTTCGAGTTACATGGATGGACAGGGAAGGAGGTGTGGTGTACCGAGTCCCAGAAGAGTTCTATATGGAAGTCGGTAAGGGGCTCATTGAGTTAGGGTCATAAGTCCGACTCCTGAAGACTTGGCCATCGCCACATAACTTTTGTTTTATTTTTTTTTCTATCTGAGGACAATTTTAAGAATGAGTCATTGTTATATTGAGAACTTGTACCGTAATCGTTCGAAATTCGAAATTGACACATAAATTACATATAAGCATGGCGTACAGTTATCAAACATCGGTGTTTTGTGAAACATAACCGGGGAAATCAAAACGGTAAAATCGATCACATTTAATGACATAAATAATCGATCTTTTAAAGAAATTGACAGTAGGCATACAGTTTATAACTATTCGAGACCAAATCGTGATTCGTCTGCCGTGCGGGTGTTTTTTTTTTCTCCGATCGGTCGCGAAACGCAAAAGCTATCGTCATGTAATCGAAACATTTCAATTTCATTTTTGACACATTTCAATTATGAGACTGACGACACTTCGGCTTAAAACTATTTAGATATTGAATTACAAAACCCAGCGTTGAAACCGTCAAATATATCACAATTTCAGTGTTAATTACAATTTGTAAGACAATGTGTTTTTTATGGAAAAAGAGAGCATTTTTTTGGGCACTAAAATTAAACTCAATATTTTTCACTTACCAATTTTGGGCGTCTGAACTTCATTGCCAGCATTCATAAGGAGGCGGTAGACATGTCCCGCTGTGTTCACATCTTGCATTTCGAGGGACGTATAGGCCTTCAGCTTTGAAAAATATCCCGTTTTATTTCAAAAAGAAGAGCTGGTAGTCGTACTTTCGAGAGAAACTTACCATTATTTTATTCGCTTCCTTCTTTGAAGATTTCTTTGTACGTAATGTTGTGTGCGCATCATGTTCACGTGTTTTGTTTGAGGCTGCGTTGCCATGCGCGTCTTGTTTATTAATTGTGCAACGCGTTGCTAGGTTTGGAACATGCTTTTTGGGTGTTGCTGCTATGGTGCTAAGAAGGTATACTTTGTGACTGAGAGCTACCAAAGTAGTGACGTCATCAAAGAAATGTAAGTCAAGAATGGGACTCATTGAAAGCAAACGTCACAATAGTCCGTTACCATGAAAATATTCTAATTCCGCGAGAATAATGCGTGCAACGCGCAAGTGCAACGGGTTCAGTTAGAATTTAAGTCCGTACCTCGTCAAATTTAGCAGGTGGCATGAGGTATCCCTAGTTTTACGCGAAACTGTCGAGTAACCTACTTTATCGGACGTTAATTAATCATTTGAAGTGCACTAAATCGATTGTGCTGGACGAATTTGAATTATTAACCCTAAAGGGGCCGGGTTATTTTGACCATCTTTCACTCCCAGCCGGGAGGGGGGGGGGGGATTCCCCTAAGATCTCGGCCTTCGAATGACGAAAAATTATGAAACTCGCTACATGCATATAGGGCAACTTATCATGAACATCATACCCAAAACATTTCATGACTTTAGGTAAAAGGGTTGTGGAATTATGGCTAATTAATTATGCATGTGCACGAATGGAAGTTCTGCTCTGTGTGCACTACGTATATGGGAATTTTTTTTATGTTTTTGGTTTCACAAGATGCGCAAGGCTCCAGGCTATAAAGTCATAACAGCTCGGGTCGCGAAATTTTTTTTCGAGTCTATCGCGGAAAAATTGAGGGGGTGGCACCCCCCCCCCCCCCGGGTCGTAATTTCATTGAGTACAAGTGAATAAAAAATAAGTAGCCCGGAAAACAATCGATTTTCTTTTCGCTAAAGATTGACCGTAAGTTGATTATTTGGGGGGGGGGGCTTTTGTTTGGTGTCTTTAAAACATCTCTAATTGAGGCGGTTGCAGAGTCCTCTGAAAAGGCTTTTCTATTCATTGCATGACAGTTGTATCAATGCGCAATACACGGCCGCATCGGAACCTTTTCTAAGAGGAGCAGGAACCGATCTGCCGGCCGGCGCGTATGATTATTCATTGTTGGGCCGCAAATAATTCGACACTATTAATTTGCACATGAGTGATTCAGTTTTCCGATAGATTTCGGGTGATGTTTCATTAAGAATGAACATCATTTGTATTGCTATATAGAAAATTCGGGTGAAACTCCGCAAACCCGTACCCCACCACCACCCCCGCAGGCTCCTTGCTCTATGGTGAAAGCCCCAAAGCCGTCTTCAAAGCTTAATGGCGTGGCAATGCACATTTCCCCCGAAAATCCTTGAACTTTCTCTAGCATTTTTGCTGTTTATAAAAAAAAAATCGGGGTGGGCGGGAGGACAATTCCCCCCACCCTACGAGCTCCCATGACACCCGAAATGTTCATATAGGAAAAAAACTTAATGGTAAATGTGATTTCACACCTCTTTTTCTTCGTGTTTTCTTTCTTTTCCCCCTCCCCTTTTTCACCAAAAAGTCATCGGTCAACCCACCAAAAATAAAAAGAAAAAGGAAAGACGACATGTTGATCATCATTTTTGTTTATAGCCTGAACACCTGTGAGAGTCCTAAGTATTTTAAAAAGAATTTTGAAGTATAGGGATTTATCACTTGTCCAATAATAAGGGAATTGGTTGCCCGCTTAAATCTGTTCCATCCAACCCCTTGAGGGCGCGCTCGTGCGATCGTTGAAACGCAGTCTGGTCTCCGTAAGTGTCCTGTGTAATATTCGAATGCGATATCTGGGGTCAGGGAACCGACCATTGCTGCAGCGCCCAATCCATGTGCTAAAAAATGGCGGTTCTTTCTAATAAGATCGCATTTTTCATCGCAGTTTTCTCCTTTATTTGTTTGTGCGATGGCCACAAACTCAACGTGCCGAGGATTATGTTGCCTTACTTTGCCACAACGCCGATAAATTTCACTCTGGAAGCCTCCGATAGCTGTTATAATTGGTGGGTAAACGTACGATAACCGCTAACGTTTTGCAGTGCATGTGCCAGTTGGCTGACGTTACGGCAACCGTACCGTAACGCGATTTTCACCTATTGAGCGCTGCTCAATTTTTTTTTTTACAAAGTAGTCCTAACATTTGTTTTTCATTTTCACAATTGTCATTGTGTGTAAATCACATGGAATTCAATTTCTTCTTTGTAATCCGCGGCTTTGGAAGATTTTTTTAAAAAGGGAAATAAACTAAAGTCCGACAACCATTTTGTTGAGGAATGTCGGTCGTTTCGTACCCAACATGCCCAAGTCGTTTCGTACCCAGCATTGCCCAGGTCGTTTCGCACCCAGGATTCATTGACATTGCACACGTGACAAAGGGTTCCAAAACAACAATTCTACTGTCAATCACTCTTGGTGGTTCACGGGTGTGTTGACAGCACTGGGGTTTGTTTTGTCTGATTTTTTTAACCTGCCACTGCATGTTTTTTGTTCTTCTTGGAGCTTGGATTTTATCTACCATTTGTCTACCCTGCGGTTTGTGGGTCTTTTGAGCTTGGGTTATGATCGACGATGTTTGTCTTCTAAGTTCTATATTGTAGCGTGATTTTCTTTGGTTGCTTTTTTTTTCTTCGAAATTGTACTTTTTATAATTATCAAGTTTTGACTTTAATTAAAAAACTATTGTAAGTCATAAAATGCAATTCAATTGTTTTTAAAATTTTCAATGTTTGAATCTACCCTGGTGTTAATGTTTTCACTCTTCTATAATTATCAAGTTTTGATTTCAATTAAAAAAACTGTTGTGAGTAATAAAATGCAATTCACTAGTTGTGAAATTTTCAATGCTTTTCAATGTGTTCAGTTTGGCATTGTTTTGGCAGTAATAAAAAAAAAAACAATTTCGCATTGCATAAAAAATTAGGCTCAATTCTAATCTGTGGGGAAAACAAAATAAATGTAATTTTTTATTAATCATTTATTTCCGTTTTTATTCTGCCTTTGATGCAAATCTTCAAAGGCCAATTGCCGGTCAATGTTCTGGGACTAACAGGCTCTACTTAATATGATGAGTTTGAATTTTATTCCCCCACCCCCTAAAAATGAATACTTACTTCAAACTTCATCGGAGAAAAAAAAATAAAAGGGACAAAATATGTATCTATTAATGTATATATTCTCCAGTTACCCGGGTTTTCAAGGGGATACGGCTTTTCCTTTGAAATGAAAACAAAACTATGTAGATCCCCATACGATAGATTTTAAATTGGTTTATTGTGTTATTTCAGTGTTATATTCTTTCAATATGAGTTTTAAAAATTCAAAAAGGGAAAACAATCGTCATAAAAACGGGAACCAAATGTGTTTTCCAAAGGATTTTTCGCCACTAGAGGGCCCACATTCGGTAGCTACTGTGCGTGAATGCGCGCCACCGCATTGGTCGAGACTTCATCAGAATGATTGACAGTGAAACAGACAGCCAGTTATGTAGGACGCAATCTTAATCCCTGGGAACTTGATACATCTCTATGATGATGCCGCGCGTCGGTGACTAACAGGAGCGGGTTTGCATGACTGGCTTAATCTCCTTTGTGCATCATAATTGACTGGGTACGAAATGACTTGGGTACGAAACGACCTGCTTCGTTGTTGAGCATTGAGTGATATCCTTCATCAGTTCGTCTTGATGAAGATACCAAGACAAGTTGCCAAACTTGGAATTCAAGTGACATGATTTGAGTTCATTAAATAGTGAGCTGTATCTCTGGACTGGGGTTTCCAAATGAAATGGAATAAAGACCGTTGTCAGGGTTGTGTAGAGTATTTACCACACCTTTAGTCTCTATCTATATTGTTTAATTTGCAAAACGAGAGTCCTAGTATTTAGTAGGCCTAGTTTTAATATTATTATGGATTGGCTGCTACTATTTTTGGAGACCCCCTGTATTTTCAATTCTTTCCACAAAAATGATTACTTTGACAAATTTTGCTCAACAACTTTCATTTGTCAGGCGCTCATCGCGGCCGGAAGTGGCCTCAGTCAAACCCATCGGTGGGAAAGATGGAAAGTGTTCTCTGAAGGCCAAAGTCACGGCGCTGTCCACGCACCCAACGCAGATGACCAGCGTCATATTTGCTGAAGAACAAGGTCGGTGTAAATGTTGTGCAAACCTGACCCAAAACCCACCCCACCTGAAACCGACTTCGGCTGTGTCGGGTGACTCGGGTTGGTTTGCCCATATTTTCAGTTTGATCAGGTTGGTTTCGGTTTTGCATTTGCGATTTTCAGGTCGGTTTGGGTCAGGTTAGCCAAGTCTCCTGTATAACGTCTGATATATCTAAGTATGCGTGACGTCATTTCATTCCAAAAACAGGACTCGGTTTGTGATTGGTCAATTTCGATGCCGCGTTTTTGTAATACAACAACCGGTACAAAATTGTTACTCATCGTGGGCATGATGCTTAGACATCGTGAAAAAAAAAAAATAAATACAGTTCGGAAATGTTGTGAGTACCGTACGGTATGATTCGGTTTTCTGAGAGACATGGATTTTCACTCAACGCAGGTAAGTTCAGTCACAAATAGCAGACCCAGTTTTAATGGTGGCTGGGAGTTGCAGTAGCCGACGACCAATACAAAACAATCTTAAAATTGTTGACCCCGTTGTATTTGTTTTATTAGAAAAGTTTTACTGTATGAGAAATTGTCATTTGTCATCTCTTTCAGCGAGCGGTCAGATCATCCGATGTGACGTGATAGTCGATACCATCGATCTGATAGACATCGTGACCACCACCAGAGTTCTGTATCTTGGTGATTCACCTGAGGAGTTTGAAGTCAGGGCACTAGACGACGAAGGTCTGTATATCATTAGAAAATAGGATCTTTTTAACCCTAAAGGGCCTGTCACATTATATGCGCTCTCATAGGAGACCTTACGGGGACCAATTTTTTTCATAAATTTAACAATCGCAGCGAGGATGCAATAAAATGACAACTTTCTGTCTCAAAGAAGCTCAAGCTACGCTCAAACTGTGCTCTTCCCGCGCTTACGATGCGTTCAACTCGCTCTCTATGCGCCCCTGTCAAGCTCAATTACTCGATCTAGTCGCTGCCGCTGCGCTGTCACTGCGCTCACACTACGCTCTGCTCGCTGTTGATACGTCCTAGTAGCATACGTCGCGCTCTCTATTCAACCAAAATACGCTCATGTGACGTCACTTGCACTGTATAAATACCACGACAAAACGGTCAATACAAAGTCCAGTTTAAAAAAATTATTCTACAAGTTCATCGCAGTCGAGTTACTTTCTCATGAAGACTACGTCGACTGCCTTGCGCCTAAGCTGCCTCAATGCCATTTCAATGTCGCACAATTCACGCTCGCACAGCGCCCGAGTTGCGTCATTAGGGCGCCCTGGCCAGAGCGCCGAGGTGTTGCGATTGTTTTGAGCATGTTCAAAGACATTGGCGCTCATTGGAGACCATTAAGACCCTCTGGCGCCCATCAGGCGACGTATGTAGTTGTCGCTGCAATCTAGTAGTTGTTGTTGCGCCCCAGCTGTTTTTCAAGGACACAGTGAGAGCGCATATAAGATCACAGACAGTGTGACAGGGCCTAAACCGAACTCAACTCAACCCATCAAAGTTCAACAGCAGGTTTTGTTTAAATCTGTTGGGATAGGTAAAGTACCCCTAAACTGATGGTCTTTTACACTGGGGTTGGCATACATGTACCTCCAGAAACTAAGTCCAACAGTGTGTGTGTACGATTTCCCATGTGGGTGTTGGAATTTGCCAGAATGGGTATGGTTCCTAGTAAATTAGGGTGGGGAGTTAGGGTTAATGTAAGTTTGTGGGTGAGTGAGTCCGAAAGCAAAGTTTCCGAAATGTCCGAGTACTAGAAAATAATTTCTAAGAAGAAACCAAGATAAGAAATGCTCAGTTTTTGTGGCAGAAAACCCACAGCATCAGGCATTTTTTGGATGGGATCGGAACATTGGGATTTGAAAAGGCTAGAAAAGTACCAGTGTTTTTGACTGTCTGACTTTATGTAATTCCTATGCCACAATTACAGGAAACACCTTCAGCAGTTTGGAGGGCTTAGAGTTTGAATGGTCACTTCTCTCAGACAACGATGCCGACATCGTGGTCGATGCCAAGACCATCTTGAGGTAAGTCTCCAAGTAACAGAGCAGAGCACCTCAGTGTCTGGCTGCCAACAATGTACAGTTAGTGTCATTTCACAAAATATGGTTTTTATTATTTCAAAAAAGTTGATAACAGCTTTTGCAACAGCTGTTTCTGTCAACTTTATATTCATCAGATTAAAAATCATCAATTTAATAAACAACAGGTATTTGAATTGCTCCATATGCAATTAAGAAAATAGATACATGTCAATTCTTCAGATTCTCTTTGAGAACTGATTGCTTCATTACGTTCCACAAAAGTCACTTTGGAGGTTTTTGAAACTTTGGCTTCATCTGTGTCTTCGTCTGTGGCTTTGTCTATGGCTTTGTCTATGGCTTTGTCTATGGCTTTGGCTTTGTCTATAGCTTTGTCTTTGTCTTTGGCTGTGTCTAGATGGCTTTGTCTGTGGCTTTGTCTATGGCTTTGCCTATGGATTTATCTATGCAAAGATGAAACTTTCCAGATTTTAATCTGAAATCAGATTTTTAAAAACTTTTCCAATGAAATTTCAGATTTTTTAATGATCCCACAAAAATTTATTTTTATTATAATTTCCTAGAAAAATCGATGAAAGTGGCACGTAAAAATTTGCACAAGTGTAAAACACCTAGACCAACGCTGATCAGATCCTTTTCTGGCTGGAGAAAAGGTTAAATACTGACCTATGACATTGATGTGCTGTGCTGCACTGCCCGATGCTGTGGCAGCTCGGACCCAAGTTCCAATTTCAGATTCGTTTTGCTAAGGCCAGTTTCATCTCTGATCTGTGGCTTTTTTTAGCTGCTCACTGGGTAGGGAAGTCCCTCCTGCTCAAATGGGTTCACGCTTAATAATAATAATAATACTTTGGGGGCTAATCATCCTTACAACTGAGAAGCTGAATTGCGAAGAACGCGGCTACAACGCGGATGCGCCACAGGCATGTAAAGGTGCCTCTGGCAGCCAGCCACATCGACCCAAATATGACCACGGAGCACAGCCAGAGATCGAAAGTGTTTGATTTTTCCGAAGGGAGGGAAACGGGAAGGCCCCGAGAAAAACCCTCGTGGCACAGGAGAGAATCAATGCACAACTCTACTCACACAAGGCATGTATGGTCTGTGGCCGTGATTCGAACCAGGGTCATAGTGGTGAGCGCTTCACGCACAAGCCACCCATGCCACCCAGCTTCAGTAAGATCAACTGTAATAGCATGAGGCCAAAGTTTAGGGAATTTCCATGAGGTTCGCAAATGAAGCACTCCAAATTGATTCCGAGGCCAAAGATAAAGCTGATGTAATAAAAAGTGTAGCCGGTGTAGTGTGAATATCCGACTCCGTGAAATATGGACTCATTGGTAGTATGGGCCTTATTCACGAGTCGGCCATATTGAAATCAAAGAGAGGTGAAATTGGGAACTTGCGAAGAGAAATGAATGCAAGCTAATTTCTAATTAATTCCAGTCCGCTTCAATGAATAAGTTTAAATTTGTAATTAAACATTCCCTAATGTTTAAAGCCAGATTAAAAAAAAAAAACAGTAAATAACGGCTGCATTGTACCTGCATAAATAGTCTGGTGCCATCCCATTCAACAGTTAACAATTAATGAAATACGTTCAGGGAACTCGACAAAAATGGCCAACTCGTGAATAAGGCCCATTGCGCATGCCTAAGTACGATAATATGCTATATTTAGAATCATAAGTGGGAGAGTGACCTGTCACGTGCGAGGGATTAACCAATAATAGGGAAAATAGTGCGATTTTCATAGGAGTAAGATTTTCACATGACACCGGCATTTGAAATACCCCTTTTAATGTTTGTCCATTACTTACACGTGACCCCACTCTTCACCCTTGAACCTATCTTGACCTTTGGCTTTTTATCTTGACCTTTGACCCCAGGCTGGTGACCTATCACGAGTCGCCCTATGACCCACCCAAGTACATTGAGGGGATGGAGGAGCGAGGCAAGCAGGGGGATCGCATCCTGATTGAGGGCATCCGGGCGGGGTCAGCTAAGGTCATGGCCAGGCTGACCTCTCCGGGGTTCAAGGTTGGTATTAGACTTGATTTCAAGTTGGCAATTGGTCGGTTTTGGTAATTTTTAACAATGCACCCATACTATACAACAGGTAAGGGGTTGTGCCCTTATAGACCTGGTGTGAAAAGGGCCCCCCGGTACCTCGTCCAGTCTAGAGCCCGTCCGGTCTTCAGCCCAGTCTTGTCCAGTACATAGAATCCCAGGACATACCGTTATTTCGTTTTACCGTTTTGCATTTCCTCAAAACAAAAACAGTAAATGAACCATTGACCGTTTTGTCGTTATACAGTTTTGTAAAAGGGTCAAACGGTATTAAGATAAATACGGTTTCTCCGTTTTATAAGTTTAATAACATTCATTACAGCATAACGATCAATGATTTTTGTTTTACGGCTTTTATACATAACTTTGAAAAACAGCAAAACGGTCAGTATTGAATACAGACTGTTTTTTTTAATTTTCATTGTTAACAGTCCGTGGTGCATTTTATGGTAGTGGGCAAGGGGGTGGAGGGGGATGCATGCTTTACACGAAGAAGTGTTACCTCGGCATAATTTATGCGTTAATTGTGCGATTCCTGGCGTGACCCTGACCCCCTTCTCATGCGATTCAGTTGGTGGGTTGCAAGCAAACATGGCGCTGGAAAACTTTGAGGAGGACATTACTTTTCACAATGGATACAGGATGGTAATACGTTTGAAGAAGTTGCAGATATTTGAAGGAAATTGGAGTTCGGTGCGGCTCTTCAATAGCCAGTTCGAAAACTATGTTGTGAGAACGAAATGTAAGGAGTGCAATTTGGGTCCCAGGCAATGACTCGATCCCATGAGGACGCATTAACATTCCTAGGTGCATTGCTTAATTGCCGAACCTAAATCAAAAAATGGTCGACAGGACTATTGACCGTTTTTCATTGTCATGTTCTTGTAAAACAACTCTCTGAAATGAAGCAACTAACCGTTTATCGCTTTCAACAATTAAGAAAGACAACATAATACCATTTGACCGTTTTACAAAACTGTAAAACGAAAAAACGGTCAACGGTGCGTTTACTGTTTTTGTTTTTGAGGAAATCCAAAACGGTAAAACGAAATAACGGTATGTCCCGGGATTACATAGGCCTGTCTGACCAGAAGCTTTGAAGTCAGTCAGGCCCATCAGTTGATTACCCCATGGGGAACATCCAGAGCAGAACAAAAGAAGAAGTGAGGGGGCTCTATTGTTTGGCTCTGGAAATAAAATCCTTGCAAAGGTGTTTGTAACTTTAATATGGTCCCATTGTGTGTCAAACCACATGGCGCAGGTTTTGATCTGTGCCAGCACTGGGGTTCTGTTGTTTCGTACTGAGGGATGAAAACCACAAACAGGTTTCTTCTGGGATAGATTACATGTGCCAGCACTTGCAAAGAATAGATCCCGGGATAGAAGAGTTCATGATCAGCCACCGGACCAACCTCCTGGGCCGGTACGAAAGGGCTTTTTGCTAGCGGGTGAGCTTACCAGGCCCCTTTTCACACCAGGGCTGAATTGTCGAAATCCCTCATACTGTTCCAGAGTTCACTCACCATCTACATATCATCAATTGTTATTTCAGGACGTGAAGCCCAGCGTCACCAGGGTCATTGTCATCGACCACCTGATGCTGAACCCTGCCCATGACATCTACATCCTGGTCCATGCCCAGGTCAGGTACCAGGTGGAGAAGCTGAAGCAGGGCAAAATAACGGGTAAGTCTTTGAAGGGTTCCGGAAAAAAAGCCTGAAGTTCTGGAATGTTTCTGGAAGTTCTTGAAAGTTTTGTGATCTTCTGGAATCTCCTGGAAGTGTCTGGAAGTTCCATGAAGCACTGGAATTTCATGAAAGTTCTGTGAAGTACTGGAATTTCTAGGAACCTATGGAATGACCATGAAGTTTCTTGCAGTTTCTAGGAGTTCTGAGCAGTTCCCTGAAGTTCCAGGAATCTCCTGAAATTTATGGAAGTTCCTGAAGTTCATGGAGTTTTTCGAAAGGTCCTGGAAATTCCTGGGAGTTCCTGGAAGTTCTTAAATTTTTGTTCTTAAACGTTTGTGGGAGTTCCTTGTAGATCCTGGAATATCCTGGAATTTCTGGAAGTTCCTGAAGTTAATGGAATCTCCTGAAAGATCCTGGTAGTTCCTGGGAGTTCCTGGAATTACTGTGATGTTTCTGAAAACTTCTGGTAGCATTAAGGGAGTTTCTGGCATTTCTTAAAAGTTCCCGTAGGGTCTTTGAAGTTCCTGCAAGTTCCGGAAGTTCAAACAAGTTTCTGGAATCCTGCAAGTTTCCGGAGACTTTCTGGAGATTTCCAGAAATTGTTGTTCAGTGTTTACAACCCAGAAGTTTGCAAATTCATTGTCAGTTGCATTCTTGTATTGTCTAATTTTTTTCCTTCCCTTTTTCTTTTGTCCAAATAGTTGTTCCCATGCCATCAACGCAGTACAAGTTGGAGATCCGCGACAGCGGTATTGCCAGTCTGGAAGATGCAATGTCAACGGTTACCGGTGTGTCGCTGGGTACCACCGAAGTCGTTCTCCGAGATAAAAGTATCCTTTTATCGAAAAAAAAAGTGGATGTTGTCTGGCAATTGATTACTAGCTGTTCATGTAGCATCTGTGAGCAAGCTCGAGTGTAAATTGTTGTTAACCTTACAGGGTGGTGCAAAAAGAAGGAAACTCACTTTTGACAGCCAATTTCACCTACTTGTTGAGCATATTTCAGAAATTCAATTTAATTGTATTAAAATATTGATCTTTAAACATAAGTGACGAAAAAATGATTGCAAATGCATCTTTCATCTCTGAGATGCGGTAGTTTAAAAATGTGCCAAACCTGTTTGTCCACGGACAGCTTTATTCCATCCACTTGACTGAGCTCCAGAGCTCCATTTGAAGACAGCACTACACTAGACTTAGACGTGGACAACAGTGATTTTGGTGACTTGTATTCAAATTGGCATAAAAACACTATTCTTGCGATTGTTTTAAAGAATTTTTTTTATCTACGTATGGTTGAAGAGCTATACTTCACTACATTATAAAAAAAACCCAGTTCAAATAAGTTAAGTAAGTAGGTTAAAATTCCTGTCAAAAGTGGGTTTCCTTCTTTTTGCACCACCCTGTAGTTTGACTAACTTCACTCGAACGCAGGGTGGTTGGACTACTCTATCGGACTATTTAGACCATCACTGAGCGTGATCATAAAAGAAAGCAGGGAGCCAGAAACAAGTAGTTTTGTGATGACGTTTTGACCATCTTTTGAAAGGAGGCGTTTGCACGTTGCTATTAATGCGCAGGCGTTAGTTACATCACGAATCAACCATAAGTCGACTAATGCCAAAAAAAAAAAAGTCTCCGGTTTCTGGTATGGAGCTTGTCTAAAAAGTGGTGCGGCGACGCGGCCTTTTTTTTTTTTTTACCTGTTTTTTTTTGCTTCAAATGTCGGCTGATGACTGCAAATGGTGCCCGACTAAACTTAGTGCAAATATATGGGAGTCCAGAGAGCCCACATAAAGCTTATTCTCGATCATAAACCCATCTAAAACCACGTTAAAACTGTGCAGCAGCAGGATTCCAGTTAGTGAGTTTGGTGGTTTTGAGACATCATCTCTATTGAAAAAAAACTTTTTCCTTTTGCCGACGTGCATGGCTACGGTGACGCGCGCTCATACCAGAAACCGGAGACTTTTTTTTTTTGGCCTAATGGTCCTCGCTCGGTCTTGCTCTATAGAAGCCTGCCGAGGCTCAAGGTTGGTTTATACTCGGCGCGAAAGCGCAAATTTGTGACTTCAGGGCAATTTTTCAACGCATTTCAACTCCGGTGATTTTTACAGCGAATGCTTTGTGACGTCAAATTTGCACCGCATTTGCCTCACATGAAGTATGAACCGACCGTAACAGGGGCGAAAAATCTTTGTACACTACTCAGAGAAACCGAATCCAACACACAATTTTTGCTGTCGGATCTCGTTGACAGAAGCAGTGTTGGAGCTTATTTTTCTTTTTCAAATTATAAACAAAATCTTGTGTAGGATGTTGTTTTCCTTTAACTTTGGTTGACAGACATCAAAGATTCAGCCAGCATGCCCAGCTCTACCATTCACGTCATAGAACCAAAGTATCTAGGTAAGCCCATGTTATAAAACTGTACTTTTCAACCACTTCGTGCCGGGATTATTTTTGCTGAAAAAATTTCGATTTTGACAAAAGGCAAAATTTTCCAGCCAACTTCTGATGTACAGCCAAACACCAAAAATACTGATTCGCAAGAGTCATTTCAACAGTATTTGTATCATATTTCTTGCCGAAACCTCATATGTTTCAATAGTCTAGGGTGTGCACTCGAGCATAAATTGTACAACAATAGGCTGTGCACAACGGCCAATTCAAGATCAACACACGGTCTGCCTCCACAGACTTCACTGACTTTGTGTGTGTGTACAAAAGACACGAGGGATTAGCGTATTTAGACATCACCCGGAGGCAAATCAAGGCAATGTTGACGTTTTAACCCGTCAGCCGTGCCTGTGCATAAAAACAGCCAGTGCGTGTTATCACGTCCTCTGACGCAAACTGGTTAAACCATAAAACCAGCATTTGGGCTCAGTGCATTAATACTAGCATTGCAGTGATTTAAGTATCAATTACGAGTTTAGGAAACGGATATGACGTCCACATTTTTATAAACTCTGTGTCGTGAAACTTGGTGAAGTTGAAACTCTGACGAGAGTGGGGATAGGCTGTTGCAGGAATTGGACGTTGATGACTTATCTGGTTGCGAAGAAAGCAACAACTATTTGAGAATGCATCCAAAATGAAACTTGAGAAACAGTAAGCAACTGTACCATTGAAAACTGGTACCATTTTATACTTGTATTTTGAAAAGCAATTAGTGACAAGTGGCTTGCCCAAGGACACACACTATCAATGGAATCTTGTGAAAGGCTGCCTTTTGTGTTTGAGATTGAACCCGTTTCAGGAGGAGTGTTGGCACTACATTTATTCATTTCTTTTTCAATTTCAGGATTTGTGGTTCTTCCCGGTAAGAACTGGGTCCTACAGACGGGAGGATTGTATGAGATCCTGATAGAGATCTATGACAGGGATAGTCACAAGATGTTCCCTGCCGATATACCGGTAAGCCTCCCATCGTACTTTGGTCAAGTGTATTCATCTTCATATGTACTCATGGAGCTTTTGCACAGAATCTGTTAGAAGCAATGGTATTTTGGCTGGCAACTGGCTTTACACATTTCTGTTCTAAGACAGCCCCATGGAATTGGTGAAAGGTTTATAGTTCTGTTACACTTGTCCTAACCCCTGAATCCTGAATCCGCCAAAATCCACCAATTTTGTCATGCCAAAAAATGTTGGTGTCCTGAGTCCATCAGAATCCACCAGTGAGTCCATCAGAATCCACCAGTGAGTCCATCAGAATCCACCTGTGTGGTACATACTTCGTACACACAAAAACATATAGCCAAGGAGTTTAACTGTTGAGATCCTGAATCCATCAAAGTCCCCCAACTGCTCAATATGGAGGTATCCCAAATCCATCAAAATCCTGCAGTACCGCTGGGCTTACTGTCCTGAATCCATCAAAATCCCCCAACTTGTAAATCATGGAGGTATCCTGAATCCACCGAACTCCTCCAAAGCAGGGATGTGGATTTTGATGGATTCAGGTACGTTAGGGTTAAAGGTTGTTTCATACTAGCCGAGAAAGCGAAATGAACGGAAATTTGTGACGACACATCAAGTATTCCCACTGCGGAGTTGCACGTGTTGAACACATTACAACTTGGGCCAAATTTCACTACGACAAATGATTTGGGACTTCAAATTTGCTTTGCAATCACATTCACATTCTTGTGAAGTGTGAACCAGTTTTTACAGTGGTGAACAATCATGAAGATATATATTTCAAAATTAAATTTGGGGAGTAAGAGAGTCTTAAATTTAGACGAAGAGATCCCTTCTCCCTCCCAAGCTGTACAACGTTGATAGATTTGAATACTTTTTCATGTTGTGGAGTATTCTAACCCCTGAATAATTCCTGACAAGCAGACTTGGTCGGCCTGTCATCTGGATAATCGCTATGGAGATCGTGAGGACAATATCGCTAACATACAGCCCTCACCCTGTGAGGTATAGGAAGGCAATTTCCCTCATAAATCCCACTTGGGAATTTTGCATTAATTTGTACATTTGGTTCAATACTTTGGACCAGTTATTAAAACATTTTCATTGACATTACAATATATTACGTTCCTGTTCACTAAACAGAAAACTTTTTTCTTCAATATTACAAATTTGATTTTTTGGTTTATTTATACCATGTTATTAATATAAGGCCCCCCCCCCCCAAATACTCAGTCTCTGGTCAGCGCGCGCGTCGATTTTAATCATGAGCGTCAACCTTTTTTTTCTTCAAATTAACAAGGAAGCTACAACAGCGCCCTCTATTGCTGCACCTCAAATTTTTGTACCAAGGAGCACCAAGGAATGGGGAAATTGCACCAAGGCAAATGATAAAGGGCACCAAGGCAAATTATGGAGGACACCAATGTGTAATGAGGACACAAAAAAGCAAAATACATGTAGTACCCACCTTGACTGTACAATTGAAGCTTGAAAAAAAAAAAAGCCACCAAAAAAAAAAGAAAAAAGAAACGCATCGCCGCATCAATTCCAGAACTTCGACCGATTATTATTTTTTTTTGGCCTAATGGAGTATTCACACATGTTCATAGCTGTTTTAAAATAACATTGTATTTTTGGTTAACCTTTTGTTGTTGTCGAAATTTAGTGTTTATGAATTTGTTAATTTGAGGGTGTTGACTTTTTCTTTTACATAACATAGACGGTGTTGTTCAATTATAATTAAAAACATTTGCATGAAGGAGTTATGTTAAAATAATTCATCAATCAAAAAAAGCATATTCCTGTAAAAATGGAAGTTCGTCTTTTGTTTAATAGTGTTTAGATTTGTAATTGGATGTTAATTTTGAACTCAACACTAAAGTTCCGAACCTGAAGCTTTCAACCTGAGAACAGACGTTGAATCCTTGACCTCACAGTTCTTGGTTAAAAAATTTCATGTACGGAAATATTTATGTTTTAGCCTCTGAAGAAGAACTTGCTAAGTTCGCAACGTCAGGCCACATTAATTTTAAGATTTATATATTTCAGGTCCATCCAGTCAGTAAGCAGTTTGCAGCAGTTTTACTTTTTTTCATGGAAATATTTATTGTTAACATCAAAAGTGTAAATTAATCTGAATCTGAAACTATTATTCTTTACTCATGAAAAAGTTCATAAAGTAAGTTCCATAACCATTTGATATATTTTCATGTTAATCTAGATAAAACTCCATATTTGGTTTTGCCCTTCACCGACGTATAAACACTGTGTTACCTCCCAAATGTAAGTTGGAAAAATCACTCAGTGGGACTTGAACCCACGACCTCCTGCTTTGTATTGCAGACGTCTTACCATTCTACCACCGAACTTACGGGATCGGTTGGCCGAGTATACAGTGATGGCTGAGTATAACACACTGAGTATACAGTGTTTATTCATCGGTAAAAGGCAAAACCTACATGTAATATTGATTTACATCACCCCAACGCAAAATTCCATCTTACGAATAGCTACATGTAGATAAAACTGTTTTATTGTTGTTTTTGTATTCTCCCTCTGAATATGTTAAATGTTTTGCTTGGCTTTGTTTTAGCCCATCTTTGTTACCCTCTGTACAAGACACTCACTTATTTTCTTATCCCTCATTTGTTAGAATATCCGCATCCAGGCTGACTTTGCCAGGGAGTATTTCGAGGTGCTTCACTCCACCGTCAATGGCACCTACCACTACGTGCGGACTCTACAGAGCGGCTTGACGGAGATTGAAGCTGCATTGGTGGCCATCGTCAAACCTGTAATTGCCCTGATTTCTTCTTCTCCGGCTTTTTAATTGCTTGCCTGACTTCAGGCTTTAAAAAAATTGTCAATGGCATATTGGCAACGCACATGTTTGTATTCTTTTTCTTTAAACCTTAAATTTGAGGCAAAATTGTCAGTCCACTTTCACATGTCTAATTAATGTGATCAACTAAAAAAGGTATATTTTTCAACTATGAACACATTTTTTTGCTGAGCAAAATACATAACTGTACTCTAAGCAATAAGGAAAGAGGCAGATGAAAACCCAGCTGAGAACCCCCCCCAAAAAAAATCATTTGACAACTTGTATGCCTGTGGTATCAAACAACATGTGATGCATTTTTCCTAGTCTGAACTCGAACATAAACAGAAGCCTAGTATTAAGCTTTATTCATAAATACCCAAGACAGTTTCCCCATTCTCATTGATTGAGAGCCCATCACGTGGCCAGTCTTAAACGGATGATAAAGACATAGCTAGCTGGTCTGAAACACTTTTTAGTGTCACATGAAATTTGGACTCCTATGAAATCTAGTGCCTTTTACTGTTTTATTGGTTGAAAGTTCACAATCCTCACATAAGCATGCGCAAAACTACCGGTGAGTCAGTATTTCGTAGTCCAAAATTCACAACGCACTCAGCACAGAGCTGCATCTGCGCGTCATCGCGCAGTACGCGCAATCTCCATTAAAGGAGTTGTTTACGTCTTACTCGTGAGCTGGACACTTCATTATATAGCTAGAGGGGTGTTTCGAAAAACAGAAAGTAAACTTGTTGAACAAAATAGTAAATTTTTGACTTGTTTGACCTTTGCACCGAAAACTTTTGGTTTTTTTTACCTAAAAGGTATTTATGAATGGGAATAAATATGTGCTTGGTCGGTATTAAACACAATGTTTAAGACCGGTTGGAGTCTGGAATGCTAATAATTACCCTAGGCTTCGCCTCATCTAATTATCAGCATTCCAGACTCCAACCATTGTTAAAGAGGTTGTGGAATGCTCGAAGACATTTCCGTCATTTTTTTGGTATATGTAGCCTAAGGTGTGATGAAATAAAAACGACTATTGTTTCTGTCATGAAATAAGTACAAAAGGTACTTTTGAGAGCTGTTTTTCAGGTCCTGTTTCGACCCGAACGTGCAATTTGTGTAAAAGTCGTTGTTGCGGGCAGCAAACAAAACACAGTAAATCGTGACGTAATAAACAGGACTCGTATATGCTACTCTGCATCGGGAGTCCTGTTTATTACGTCACGATTTACTGTGTTTTGTTTGCTGCCCGCAACGACGACTTTTACACAAATTGCACGTTCGGGTCGAAACAGGCATGACAGGACCTGAAAAACAGCTCTCAAAGGTACCTTTCGTACTCATTTTATGACAGAAACAATAGTCGTTTTTATTTCATCACACCTTAGGATACATATACCCGAAAAATGACAGAAATGTCTTCGAGCATTCCACAACCTCTTAAAACATAGTGTTTACCTCCCAAGCACACATATACCCTTATTGTACTCACTTCACAATTTAATTGCCTGCCCTCAGAGCACTTTTACTCAAAACCAAAATAACAAATTCATTCACTACAAGCTCACAGACTTTCCACTCAAGTCGAGTTCTTGTTTTGCCTACAGGACGGTGAGCTGGCGACATTCAAGGTGCCCATCAGGGACACCCAGGAGGCCGAAATCTTCGATCCAATCAGAGTCCAGCCTGAGATTCTAGTGTTCCCGTGGCAACCGAGGAAACCAGTTCCCTATCAGTACACCCTGAAGGTATGGTGGCAGCAATTATGAGAAGAAAGAATATCATGTAGATTGTCATGGTCAAGTGGTTACGGGGTTTGACTCGCGCACGATGATGTGTGGGTTCAAACCCTGCCAGGAACATGGTGTTTGTGCCCTTGGGCAAGACACTTGACTACAATTGCCTCTCGCCACCCAGAGGGTGCCTGTGAGGGTAGAGGACATAATGTGCGCTGATATCGGCTGCTGCGTGGTCTCGTGGCCTGATGAACGTGGGGAATAATCGTAAAGCGCTTTTAGATTGTTGATACGATGGAAAGCGCTATATAAGCATTAACATATATTTATTGTGAACAGTCAGTATTTTGGTGGTAAAAGTGGAGACATTGTGTTTCGCATTTCAAAGATAGCATAAGCATTGTGTAATTTTTTGTGTCACAAGATCCCCTCGAAAACTATGGGTTTAAAAAACAACAACAAACAGAAGGACCCCGGAATGGTACTTTTGATCAGACATATTTTAATGAAAATTGGGGCAGATTTCTTGAGTTGTTTCCCTTGAATGTACGAAAATCAAATTTGTGAATTTTGAGAAAGATGAAATTTAAAATGCTGATGGTCTAAAAGTATTTCAAAACCTCAGAACTGTTAAGTTAATCCACTGACTGGCAGGGGATGCTAAGTTAAATCCCACCTTTGTTAAATACTTATTGGATCAACAGCTTATACATTGTAATGCCAAGGTGTTAACTGGATTCCAGTCATGATAAGATTAACCCAATTCCAACTTCGTGGACTTCTAATACATCTGAAATTTAGGTTTGGTATTGCCCCTTAGGCCCCCAAAAAAGTCTCCGGTTTCTGGTATGGAGCTTGCCCCAAAAGTGGTGTGGCGACGCGGCTTTTTTTTTTTTTTTACTGTTTTTTTTTCTTAAAATGTGGGCTGATGACTGACAATGGTGCCCGACTAAACTTAGTGCAAATATACGGGAGTCCATGGAGGCCACGTAAAGCTTATACTTGATTGCAACCTTATCTAAAAACATGTTAAAATTGTGCAGCAGCAGGATTCCAGTCAAACCAGTGAGTTTGGCGGTTTTGAGACGTAATCTGTCATGGCTACGACGACGCGCATGCATACCTGGGCCTTAATACCATAAATTCAGGTTGGGGTCGCTCCCCATAATACACACAAAAAAGAAAAAGCTATACATTCTAAGTCTGGGAATTAAATATTCACAAGACTTGTTGCAGTGTTCGTAGCATTTTTTTCCTTCTTTTATTCTTAGGCCACAGGAGGGACTGGAACCTACATCTGGACATCGGGAAACAAAAATGTCGGCACCGTCAACGTCCACGGTACTGTTACCACGGCAACGGAGATGGGCATGACCAACGTGACGGCGGCCGACAACCGCAATGCAGCCCACTTTGGCCTGAGCAAGGTGAGATACCTGTTTATTGCATTGAGAATTTGCATATTTACCATGCAATATTAAAGCGCATTTTGCATATTCACCATACAATATTAAAGCGCACTTTGCATATTTACCATGCAATATTAAAGCACACTTTGCATATTTACCATGCAAAATTAAAGCGCAATTTGCATAATTACCATGCAATATTAAAGGGCAATTTGCATATTTACCATGCAATATTAAAGCACACTTTGCATATTTACCATGCAATATTAAAGCGCACTTTTTTTTTAAAAATTCCAGTGTGGTATACTAGCCTTGTGTGTACACAAAAGCTTGGAAAAACCAAGCCTGTGTCAGAGATGCTTGAATTTTACCTAAAGCCCTGTTAGTTGTCAAAAGTTCAGCTTTTCGATTGTCATTTCAGGTGTACGTGTTACCGCCCAGCGACATGGCCTTCCTAGATACCACCGTGGAAGCTCTCGTGGGATCGACCCTTGAGCTCCCCCTGGCTGCGTACGCACTCATTGCCCCATGTGAGTACTCAAAACAAGCAGTGTTCTATCACTAGTCCATCACAAGTAATCACGTCATCTCAGTCCATCTTAAGTCACAAGTCCATCACAAGTCCATCACAAGTCCATCACAAGTCCATTACAAGTCCATCACAAGTCCATCACAAGTCCATCACAAGTCCATCACAAGTCCATCACAAGTCCATTACAAGTCCATCACAAGTCCATCACAAGTCCATCACAAGTCCATCACAAGTCCATCACAAGTCCATTACAAGTCCATCACAAGTCCATCACAGGTCCCTCACAAGTCCATCACAAGTCCATCACAAGTCCATTACAAGTCCATCACAAGTCCATCACAGGTCCCTCACAAGTCCATCACAAGTCCATCACAAGTCCATTACAAGTCCATCACAAGTCCGTCACAAGTCTGTCACAAGTCCATCACAAGTCCATCACAAGTCCATCTCAAGTCCATCACAAGTCCATCACAAGTCAATCACAAGTCCATCACAAGTCAATCACAAGTCCATCTCAAGTCCATCACAAGTCCATCACAAGTCCATCACAAGTCCATCACAAGTCATCACAAGTCCATCACAAGTCCATCACAAGTCCATTACAAGTCCATCACAAGTCCATCACAGGTCCCTCACAAGTCCATCACAAGTCCATCACAAGTCCATTACAAGTCCATCACAAGTCCATCACAGGTCCCTCACAAGTCCATCACAAGTCCATCACAAGTCCATTACAAGTCCATCACAAGTCCGTCACAAGTCTGTCACAAGTCCATCACAAGTCCATCACAAGTCCATCTCAAGTCCATCACAAGTCCATCACAAGTCAATCACAAGTCCATCACAAGTCCATCACGAGTTCATCTTAAGTCCATCACAAGTCCATCACAAGTCCATCACAAGTCCATCACAAGTCATCACAAGTCTGTCATAAGTCTATCATATGTCTATCACAAGTCATCATAAGTACATCACACGTCCATCACAAGTCCATCACAAGTCCATCACAAGTCCATCACAAGTCCATCACAAGTCCATCACAAGTCCGTCACAAGTCCGTCACAAGTCCATCACGAGTCTGTCACAAGTCCATCAGATGTCTATCACAAGTCCATCACAAGTCCATCACAGGTCCATCACAAGTCCATCACAAGTCATCACAAGACCATCACAAATCAATCACAAGTCAGTCACAAGTCCATCACAAGTCAATCACAAGTCAGTCACAAGTCCATCACAAGTCCATCACAAGTCCATCACAAGTCCATCACAGGTCCATCACAAGTCCATCACAAGTCATCACAAGACCATCACAAATCAATCACAAGTCAGTCACAAGTCCATCACAAGTCAATCACAAGTCTGTCACAAGTCCATCACAAGTCCATCACAAGTCCATCACAAGTCCACCGTGGAAGCTCACGCTCCCGTTGGCTGCGTACGCACTCATTCCCCCACGTGAGTACTCAAAACAATCAGTGTTCTATCACTAGTCCATCACAAGTAATCACAGGTCATCTCAAGTCCATTTTAAGTCACAATTCCATCACAAGCCTATCACAAGTCCATCACAAGTCCATCACAAGTCCATCAAAAGTCCATCACAAGTCCATCACAAGTCCATTACAAGTCCATCACAAGTCCACCACAAGTCCACCACAAGTCCATCACAAGTCCATCACAAGTCCATCACAAGTCCATCACAAGTCCATCACAAGTCTGTCACAAGTCTGTCACAAGTCCATCACAAATCCGTCACAAGTCTGTCACAAGTCTTTCACAAGTCCATCTCAAGTCCATCTCAAGCCCATCTCAATTCCTTCTCAAGTCCAACTCAAGTCCATCACAAGTCAATCTCAAGGCCATCACAAGGCCATCACAAGGCCATCACAAGTCCATCACAAGACCAAAAGTCCATCACAAGTTCTTTCACAATTCCTGTCATAAGTGATGGGGATGAAGAATAACAAGATATGCTGTACTCTATTTTTCTGAAATCACAGCTACAGGTGTGCTTTTTTTCATGCAGAGCCTTAACCACTTTTTGCTTCCGCATGCACATTTCGACACAGGTTTTCAAATAAAATATCGAATTTCCGATGCAGAGTGCCGTAAAGTAATAGGAAAAAGTAATACTACATTTATATGTATTTCTTTTTTAATAACTTTGTTTTCAGCCAAAACTAAAATGGCCATGACAGAGTGCAGCTCACTACCCATTACCATCACGCTGTCGGATACCACTGTCTTCCAGCAAACTGAAGGTGAGTTGAACATCAAAGAAAAAAAACATTCACTGATGTATAAACATTTTATTGGTTTTATCAAAATGTTAGTATAATATTTGCAGGGTTCTTCATTCCGTTTTTGTTTGTGTTTCTTCTCGTAGCCATTATCTTTAGTGGTCTTTGGCCTTTTGGTTGGCAACTTTCATGAAAGAAAATCAATTCTGCGGCCGAGTTCACAAAACAGTGCGTAACTTATGCCATGCCTAGGACTTACGCAACAATACTTACTGCGCAATAAACTCAAGATCGATTTCACGAAACTTGGATTAGCTGCACAACGTTTTATGTAATTTAAATATCTTGGAAAAGGAAAAAAAAAAAGCATTTTCGACACCTGTTTGTGTATGATTTTGTTTGTTCATGAAACAGTCGTTGAATCACCTCTGCCTGCCGTTTTGAAAACAATTTTGTCCGATTTTCTTCAGAATCGTTGCGGCAACTAAAAAAATTCTGTCACAAGTGAAAAGCAATTCATGCACCTCAAACACAAAGCTATGAAGCTTTTCTTAAAATGTGTCACAACTGAAATGTTGCGAAGGGTGAAATGATGCGCAACTTACACAATAAATTGTGGCACAAGTGGAGTTACACCATTGCGTAAAGTTTCGTGAAATCAGCTGCTGGTCTTTTTATTGCCATCCATTTCCCAACTTGCATGTCGTTTCCAAAATGGCTTGTATATGTTGCAAATGTCAAAGTGGTTGCGATCAAGAAGATATCCCGATCCATACATGCTTGATCTGCCATGGCATTGTTGTAAGATTTGGATAGCAACATGTATCAGTGCCCTGCGTTTTTGCTCATTTCCGTACCCAGAAATCTCCAGTCTCGTCGACGGTGCGTGCAGGATGATCCCCGTGAGGGCGCTCAACCCAGGTCACACCCAGGTCACTGTCACCTACGAGCAGGGCTCCCTGCGACTGCAGGCAGCCATCACCGTTGCTGCCTACGTCCCGTTGCAGGTAAGTCAGTTTCAATAACCCTATCCCTGCCAGACGCAACACAGTGCATCAGGTGTAAAAGTCCGTGGGACATTGCTTCATTGAGCCACCAACACCAGTGCATAAACAGCCAATTCTGAAACAATGAGAGCTAGTCCCATTGAACAATGCCACAGTTGTATCCTGCTGCAGTTAGCGACTATAGACTCTGAGGCAGTTTTGCCTTGAAACGTTTGACCTGATGCTGATGGATCTTGCTGCACTGAGCAGGCTTGTCATTCTTTACAAGCATTGCGTGTTGCTGCGTTTAGTAGGGTTTCTAGCCAAAATACCCTGTCTGGTAAGGGATTGTTTTCCCTTGTATTTATTGTCACGATACAAATGTAATCTGAGTCTTTGATAAAGAGCACACTTTGGGGGAAATTTTTGATATGCCTTGAACCAGAATTGCTATCTCTGGTTTTCAGAATTTAAATTTTTTTTTCTTCGGAACTTGCCACTTAACATGGCGTACCTGAAACCTTGTCAGAAGACGATTCCGGCCCCCCCCCCTAAGATCTCGGCTATCGAGTGACGAAAAATTTTGAAACTTGGTACATGCATAGAGCAACTCTTCATAAACATACCCAAGATTGGTCCGATTTTTATGTTTTTGGTATCAAAAGATGCGCATGGCTCGAGGCTAAAAAATCATAACAGCTCGGGTCGCGAAAATTTGTTTTTTCAAGGTTATCGCGGAAAAGTTGAGGGGGTGGCGGCCCCCAGCCCTTTTAGGGTCAATCCCACCACATATCCGTACCAAATCATTTAAAGTAAATCACAACTTTTGTATACAGACATTCAATAGTGAAAGAAGCGTTTTTTTTTGAAAATATAACATTTTGTAGACAGCAATTTCGAAGTGCACAGGCGTACAAAATGAATACAGCCCGCAGTTCATTGGTTGTGAGGTATTTTCAACTATTTTCTTGTTAAAAATGAGTTGCCTTTGAGTTGAAAGCAGTTTCTTGTTAAAGAGTTTACGGAGTTTGAATTTGTTGTCGGGCATATGAAATCTAGTTGTGTTAAAATTGGGGTTTTAGTTTGGAATTTTAACATATGTAAAAAATTTTAATTGGATATTTTGATTTTGTGTATCTTTGAATTCTATGATCTTTTTATTTTTTTTAACAATAATTTTTTGTATTTTTTTAACAATAATTTTTTGTATTTTTTTTCTTCATATTTATAAATGTTGAATGTTATTACATGTACATGTTATTTCTTGTTATTTCTTGACATTTTGTATAGAGCAGCTGTATTACAATTTTGTCATATTCTTTGAATTTTGATGCAAAATGTGAATGTTGGTAATGGCTTATTTGATTTGTGTTTGAAATTTACATTTTAAAAACTTTTTTCCACGAGAATCTTCTTAAAATTATCAGATCAAACAAATTCTGAAAAGGGCTTGAAAGATAGAAACTAACACTTCAATAGAGATTGAGAGGTTTAAAAAAATAATTCACTTATCAAAAATATGGATTTATTTATAAATTCCAAATCACATGAGACTTTGATGTTTTGCTTTGAGGCTTTGATGCTGTTTAATAAAAAAAAAGTAAAGTATTAAGTTAAAATTATTTAAGAATATTTCTCTCATGACAAAAAATTCTACCAGTACAGTGACTGTATTTCATATATATTCATGACATTTTATATTGTTTTTTTCCCCAAGGTCTTAGACCCTGACAGCATCGCCGTAGTGACACCAGCCGCTTCCAAGACGTTCGTCCTGACGGGAGGCCCCCAGCCATGGGTGCTGGACCCATCCCGGTACTACGAGACACTGGCGGCCGAACACCCCGACTGGGTCTCCAGCAAACACGTCAAGATGTTCGGCTCAAACAGTAAGATAGTACAAGGCCAACTGCCCTGGGCCCAATTTCATAGCGCTGCTTAACAGCCAACTTTGTGCTTACCGAGCCTCCATCTATTTCATAGGGACTGTTAAGCAGTAAGCACGGCACATCAGTGATGTAACAATAGAAATCTCCATGCGCGCGCAACCGTTAGCATGAAATAGTGCTTAAGCAGCAGCATGATTTTCTGCTATAGTAAGCACAACTTTTCTGCTTTCTGTTAAGCAGTGCTATGAAATTGGGCCCTAGTCTTGACCTAGCTGAGATTGGGTATATATTATGTTTACCTAATGCAGCTAGTTTCAGTTCAAATCTGGGAGGGGGGATGGGGTGAGGGGGGGGGGCAGAAACACGCCACAAAAGTTGGGAGGGTTCTCATTCACATTGTGGATTGAAGCGTGCGCACTCCATAGGTGAGCATATCCAATATGTACTGTACAAACCGCTGTGTAAACGATTGTACAGTACATGCGCATGTTTATGGTGTAAATCGAGGATACACATGTGAAGCATCATCGAGTAATTGAGGACAGGAGTCAAATCGAGGATGACCTTGATTAGAAAACGTGTACGAAACCAATGGGAGCTGTTGTTAAAAAGTTAAAGAGTATAAAGAAAAGATCTATGATAAGGAACAATAGAAATGTTTCATTTAAACAAACCTGCTGGCACGTATGTACACGCACACTCAAATTTGTATCCTTGTGGAGACTTTGTTCATGTTTCCGAGTTTGAAAGTGAAGTTTCAAAATGCTCTTATTTTAACCAGAATTAATTTCCTTGGCTGAAATTCGGACTTAATATCCCTTTTCTAAAACTCTTCCATTTGCGACGGATCAACCCTCCTTGGAAATTCCTAGTTTTTGAGTAAAATCCATATATCTATTTCGTGAAAACCTCGTGGAGACATATTCATCTATAGAAATTGCCCTGTGGAGACGTATACAAACTTTTGTTCTCTATTGTGTGCACGTCTCCAGAGGGCACGGTGTATCAGATCACAATATACACACGCCGCACTAAGCCTGTCAAGTTTTTAGTTACGAAAACACATTCGTTTTTTGCTATGCTTCCGAGGATCGGCTTTGTGTTTTCCTTTGTTCCCTTATCTAAACCTTTCCCATAGACTAAGCGCGTATTCCGGCATTCAAGGACAAAGGGACCTTCGATAGAGATCGCAAAAGAACCTTTGTGCTCCCTTTGTGTGTGATCCTCAGTCGTAAAGCCACGTAAGAGCAATGTTACTGCCCAATCGTTGAGCCAGGCACCCGACTGTGCTACAGCGAAAATACCGTTTGAGAGATGAACCATCTTGACAGGGAAAACTCGGGCAGTTTGACAGTGATCCAAAAGGGAAAGGTTTTCGACAGTTTGGCGTACATGTATGCGTCTTGTGCCATGTGTCCAAGTTGTGTTCCTTGACTATGGTGACTTTTTTAGTGTTTGTGTAGTATGAGTACAATCAGTATCTTAGTTGCTTTGCTGCAACCACCTCTTGACTTCCCAGCAACCGCATTAAAGTGAAAATATTTCTCATGGAATTTGGAAATTTCTCAGGGAAACTTCAGGGGAAACTCATCAGGGAATTGTATTTCTTTTAAAAGTTGGTGGGAACCCTTGGAAAGCTCACTATGAAACTTCCCAATTCTGTGTGTTGCAGAAAACAATCACGTCTTCAACGTCGTGTGCCTTCTGCTTGGAGAGCAGACGTTTACAGTCACCGTGGGCAACAGCCCCACGGCCAAGAACAGGCAGCCTGCTATATCAAGAGCCACAATCAAGTAAGTTTCCTCAAAAACTCTGATTCTGATTTATTGTCGGAGAACTATAATTCCATGTTTCTATCCACTAGAACACCCTCTTAGACAGATTGAAATATTGAAACATTCTGTACTGGAGTAAACTTTGGACTAATGCATAAAAAGGCTAGGGAAAAGAAAGGAGTATTTGAATGTCGAACTACATTTTTTATGCCCCGTGGCGAAGCCGAAGGGGCATACTGTTTCCGCCTTGTCCTTCCGTGGGTGGGTGGGTGGGTGTGTGGGTGTGTGTGTGTGTGGGTGGGTGAGTTTGTCTTACATACGCAGTGTGGACTTCCGAACAAAAGACGTCCACATAATGTAGGTAGCACCGACGTTGTGTGGACTTACCCCACATCCACACAGTGTTTCCCCATTTCTGGAAAACAGGTTTAGAGGCATTTTTGGGTTAGGTTTATCCGTAGCAGAATGAAGAGAAACACTAAAGGGAATCATAGAAAAAAAATTGGGTTGAAAGAGTTTTCACAGTTTGAGAAAAATGAGTTTTTTCACTGGTTTTTCTTAACTACACGAAAGCAATGGAAAGTCCACACTAGTCATGTGAAACAAGTAGGTGTGTGTGTGGGTGTGTGTGTCCGGACAAATCTTGTCAGCGCGATAACTTGAGAAATACTTTACATATGAACTTCACATTTGGTTTGTGGATTGTCCTTGGTAATCCTAAGAAGCCTTTTGCATTTGGGGCCGAAAGGTCAAGGGTCAAGGTCACAGTGGCTGAAACAATAGAAATTTTGTCAGCGCGATAACTTGAGAAATACTTTGCATATGAACTTCAAATTTGGTTTGTGGATCGTCCTTGGCAATTCTAAGAAGCCTTTTGCATTTGGGGCCAAAAGGTCAAGGGTCAAGGTCACAGTGGCTGAAACAATAGAAATTTTGTCAGCGCGATAACTTGAGAAATACTTTACATATGAACTTCAAATTTGGTTTGTGGATTGTCCTTGGCAATTCTAAGAAGCCTTTTGCATTTGGGGCCAAAAGGTCAAGGGTCAAGGTCACAGTGACTAGAACAAAAGAAATTTTGTCAGCGCGTTTACTTGAGAAATACTTTACATATGAACTTCAAATTTGGTATGTATATTGTTCTTGGTAATCCTTAGAAGCCTATTGCATTTGGGGCCGAAAGGTCAAGGTCACAGTGGCTGAAACAATAGAAATTTTGTCAGCGCGATAACTTGAGAAATACTTTACATATGAACTTCAAATTTGGTTTGTGGATTGTCCTTGGCAATCCTAAGAAGCCTTTTGCATTTGGGGCCAAAAGGTCAAGGGTTAAGGTCACAGTGGCAAAAACAAAAGAAATTTTGTCAGCGTGATAACTTGAGATATACTTTACATATGAATTTCAAATTTGGTTTGTGGATTGTCCTTGGCAATCCTAAGAAGCCTATCGCATTGGGGGTCGAAAGGTCAAGGGTCAAGGTCACAGTGGCTAAAACAATAGAAATCTTGTATTTATTCTGAGATCATAGGGATTAGGGATCAATTCATATAAAACCTACAGAAGACACTAATGCTGTCAATGAACGTTCCATTTGACCAAGGTACATGTAAGTTGATGTTAGAGTGGTGTTATGTCATGGAAACAGTCACGGTTGCGGGGCATTTGTGTTTGTAAACACACCTGACTTGTTTCTAAATTTGTTTTTATTGGTGTCTCTCAAAGACAACAATCTATGTAGGAGAACTGCAACTGCGTATTTTACGCCATCAAACACGCGTTGGGCAGTGCTGAAAATGTTCTACAATGTTTGTTGCTCGAAAAGTGTTCAAAATACGATGCAGCCTATGCGAGTTGTGCAAGTTGATGCTCATATTACCGATGCACGTGGCTGGTCTGTAGGAAATGACGCATTTGAGAGAGACCTATTATTGAGATATTTGGCAATGAAATGCTTAAAACTAAAAAAGCAAAAAGTGTAGAAGTTTCAGTTTTATTTGTCATGTTTCATTTGTTGAAATGCTTTTTTATATCACTCCTTGCAATTAACGTAGTTTAGGGCTTATGTGTTAAACAAGGAATGACAAAAAAAAGGGGGGGGCTTACTGAAAGGAACAGCCCCAATGAAAACCATGCTTTGTCTTATTTGCATTCAGGTTCCTGTGTACGTCGCCGGTGAGGTTGCAGCTCATTCCAGTCATCAACCAGCCACAGCTAGAAGAGCCCTGCCCAATCACGCTGGACTCCAATAATCAGGTAAGAACTGGACGGAACCGGTTGGAGCTGGTCGCAACTGCATCAAACCAGTCTGGGCGGGTAACAAGCTAATGACTTTAAGAGCTCTGCCCAGGCACTCTGAACTTGAATAAACTACTGAAAACTGGTCCATACCAGTTTGGATTGGTCTCACAGAAGAGTGAAGTACATAATAGCGAGTTTAAACTGGATCAAACCAGTTTGGACTGGTAATAACACAAAGGATTTGTGTGCACTAAAGCAAGTTCACAACCGGATTGAACCGGTTTGCTCTGGTTAAACAAGTTCAAGGTTTGAATGCTGCTTCCAGCAATTTTCTTTGCAACTAGGTTAAATTAAGTGAAATAAGACTAATCTTTACATATTGATGTTCTCAATCGTTACATATTATCATATTTCTGTTTAATTAATAAAATGTGCGCAAGTACCCCATCAACGACCAGAAAAGGAGAGTTTGGGGTGACCTGGACTGGTTCCCGATCCATTCACTGCGTATTTCGAATGTATCCAAAGTTATTGGAGGCGGGATTAGTCTCGGAGACCATCGCAAGTTGAATTTGAACGTATTCGCGAGCTGACAACGCATGATGCTCACACGAAGACGCTGTGGCTAATAGCTTTTGCACATTCAGGAAGTTGTGCGTACTTCGCGAACGAACTAAAACAGTACGCGCATGCTGTTTGTCCCGAAGATCTGCCTTGCTAATGTTTGAACTAAAAGCAGACTTTATCTAATGGGCAATTCTGTAAAATCCAACGTAAAGATGTTAAGGGGGTGGTACCGGTACCTTAGTTTTGTCTATAATAGGTTTCTACTACATTGTTAGTGATGTATCGCATTCACTTTTCCAAGAGCAGCTCATTAAAGCGTCTGACATGTACGTCCGAATTTACGGAATTGCCCTAATACAAAATTTTATTATTTTCCTTTGTAAGTTTTTTTTTGCCATGGTTTTTCCAGCTTGTCTCCACAAAGCAACAAGGAGAAATAAAGGTTTGATTATTTTGTGATATCACCTCTGAAAAACATATAAAATTAAAAAAAAACAAATCTTTGCGCTTATGCTTAACATAAGGAAAGTAAAAGTATTTTTTCCCGCCATGAATACATGTAGCTAAAAAATTCTTGCCGTTACTGACAATAAATGTTTTTTTAAATTCATGGAAGACCTAATCATATGCCACAAACTGTGAAAAACGGATATTGTCAGTTCACAAAATCTGCCGTCAGTATCAAACTGATTCATGAGTGCAGCCAAGCCTCATTGACTTTACATACAGGCCATTCTAAATTTGGGGTTCGCTTTTTTCCTGTCCCTGTTCCACGTGACATGAAAGTTTTTAAGTCTGAAGCTTAGGTTAATTGAAGCTTTCTGCTTTTCCATTTACTTGCCCATCTCTCTCAAATGTATCCCACTGGATGGTCATCTGAGGGAAAATGCCAGTGTTAACCCTAACCGCCCTAAATCCTTCAAAATCCTCTTTGCCAAATTGGAGGAATTTGGAGGATTGAGGTTACATGGCAAAAGTGCGTTACTGCTTTCGTAGGATGCACTTTGTCAAGGTCTTGGGCTGGACCTTGTGTTGTTTTTGCTCGGCCATGCATAAATATAGGCCTGGATTATGCTTGAAATCCTCCGTACTGCTCCAGGATGTCACTGGCCAAGCCTCAACATATTGCCAGTAACTGCCGCAGGAATTTGCAGGATTCAGGCAGTGGACACCCCTCCATGGACCATATTCAAAGAAGAATGGAGGAATTTGCAGGATTGAGGCTATATGCTTTTTTCCCATGAGGCCAGTTGGAGGATTTTGCAGGATTGAGGCTCCATCCTAGCAAAAGGCATAGGGAGTTAGGGTTAATAATTGAATTCTGAACATTGCCTTTCCTAAGCTTTTTTTAAGCAGCATTTTTCAATGACGCCAAAACCTGCAAGGCTCCATAAGCATTCCTTCTCTTTTTCATCAAAGTTTCAAATAATTCATCGTTGAGCATGAAACCACTCTTCTGAGCTCAATCATTCTTATTTTTTTCTTCAGATTTTTAGCATAACATTATTTCATCAGATGATAAAACAAAGTAACAAAAACTACATTCCCAGCAGATTCTTTAAAATTATGCAAGAATTAAGACCCAAGCCCAAAAAATGAGTTTGAAGTCACCAGAGTTACTGTCGCTCCATCTTTTAACCCTAACCCTTTGTGTATAATTACTAGAAAGTATCCTGAATCCGCCAAAATCCATCAATTTTGCCATGCCCAAAAAATTTGGTGGTCAGTGAGTCCATCAGAATCCACCAGTTAGCTGGGAGTAAATCTGTTGAGATCCTGAATCCATCAAAGTCCCCTAACTGCTCAATATGGAGGTATCCTGAATCCATCAAAATCCTGCAGTACCGCTAGGCTTCCAATCCTGAATCCATCAAAATCCCCCGACTTTTTCAATATGGAGGTATCCTGAATCCGCCGAAATCCCCTGAAACAGGGGGGTGGATTTTGATGGATTCAGGTACATTAGGGTTAATGCCCAAAATGCTTCTCAACACTAAAACCTTTGGACATCAAATGTGCTTATAAAATGTAATACTGTTGTCCATACTTTACTTTGTCGATGAAAAATGAAAGAGAAATATTAGAGTTTGCTTTGAGTCAAAACAATGAGACTCAAATTGGGTGATTCTGTCTAGACATTAAAAAGGTGGTTTCTTCGGTAACTGTTTCTTTCCTAGTTAGCTGGAACTTTTTCTTGGAAGCTCAAGTTCCAAATCATTGTAAATCATCTGGATTTGGCTTCGCAATTACCGTGGGAAAATGACTATTGAATGTTTGCATGACACCTCACTATTATTTACTAATAGCTCACAGCAAATAATTGAGAAAATGTGTGTGTATTAAAATTATCCTTTTACATTTGTTTCCCAAGAGCTTGTTAGAAACTTGCAGTTGGACTAAGCACCGTCGATAAATCGATATTACCGATTATTCGATATTACTTTGATATTGATATCTCCGACAACAATTTTTTAACCATATCGAAATATATTGGAATTCGCAGCATTGGAATTTGCGGTCTCCCCAACGTAAAACCTCAAAAGAAACCACCCATTCTAAACAAACTCTCAGTGCTAAGATTTGCTTTAACGAGTTTGAGCAATATGCTCCAGAGAAAACCGTCGAAAATTGGGACCTTTTTTTTTTTTTTAATAATCAAAGTGTCATCTTTATGGGCTTTAACTTAAATACATGGGATAATCGATATATCGAATATTCTCGATATTGGATTTCCAATGTATTGATTATTGAACATTCTGATATCGACGGTGCTTATTAAGTTGGACTGTAGTTTGACATATTCTGAAACAATTAGCGTTTGTGTACAAATAATGAATGTTTGTGAGTGCAATGGTAAGAATAATTTCATGAGGTGACAGATGAAATGTTCCATTCCACGAGGCGAATGAAATTTTTCTTTCCATTGCACGAACGTGAAACATTCATTATTTGTTTTACATCACACCTGAATAAATCCTTGTCATCTGATTGGTTGACTTTTAATAGCCAATTTATTCAGGTTAAAAACTGTTTAAAAGTGCGACAAGTTCATCATATCTATATTAATGCAAACTGTTTGACAGGTTAAGAACAATCATATTCAATTTATCTCGATTTAAAACAGCGCCACCACCAGCAGCAGCGACACCATGCAATGGAAGTTCTATTCACAGTGCAATAGAAGTTCCATTGCACTGTGCGCTGCACAGTATGGTACGAATAATTCAATGACATGTGATCAACGATCCACCAATCAAATGACTGGGATTTATTCAGGTGTTGTATAATGTGGAATAGATGAATTAGTATAGTTCACTTTGTTGCTATATACATTGTTCATAAAGGTTTGCACAATAATACTACCTCATTGGTAAGTCCATACAGCAAGATAAAAGTGTGTACAGTGAGCTCAATCCATGTAGCATTATGGTGTAATTTGAATTTTGCAAGCGTCATCAACATGAATCTGTTTTTTTTTTCCATGAAGCCTGGTTTTCACTTTGAAAATTCTCCACAAAAGACATTCCCAATTTGTAAGAACTTGTGAGGATTTTTGATTGACTTGTGAGGACTAAACTAGTGATGTGCATCGGGTCGGGTTGATGACGCCAAACCGACTCGAGACATTTATTTTATAAACAGAATCCAAACCAAAACCGAACTGGACTACCTAAAACCCACCTGGCCTGACCCCGACAACAATTCAAGGAAAACGACTTGACCCGAAAAACCCCAAATACGTAGCTTCGGCAAATGTGTCCGCTTTTGCGCCTGAACTGATCTGCTTTGCATAAAAAATCTGGGCTTTCAATAACTGAATCATGCCGTGCGGCACGCAACAACTTAACCTACTGGTGGGCCTATTATGTTATATACCGATTGAAACGTACCGCACACCATTTGTAGTCGCACCACGCGCAGTGTCTCTGCACTAAATAGTGCACCATGTGAATATCCATTCTGTTTCCGTTTATTTTGGTTTACTTCAGGTTTTTCCAAAAATGGCTTAATCGAATCGATCCAACCTGGCCCGAAAATTGCAAACACAAAACTGAAACCGACCCGACCCGACTGAAATTATGGACAAACCGACCTGACCCGGGTCGGTTTTTTCAGGTCGGTCCAAAATGGCTTAACCGACCAGACCCAACCTGAAAATCACAAATGCAAAACTGAAACCAAACCGACCCAACTGAAATGATGGAAAAACCGACCCATCCGGGTCAGTGTCGGTTTCATGTTCGGTTTGCACAACATTAGACTCAACTAGAAATCTGCTCCCCAATGCTCAATTTACTGTTCTTTGTGTGTCCCAGCTTCCGGTTTTGAACAGTGCGGACCTTGACATCATGGTGCGGGCCGTGGACAGCCACGGCAACTTCTTCCACAACTTCTCCTCGACTGTAGTCTCCTGGGCCAGCTCTGACACCACCCTGGCCACCTTCCGGAACCCCCTGACCATGTACTCGGACGTGGACGGCGAGATAAGGGGATCCAAGATTCTGAAAGGTGTGTCAATTAAATGGGCAATTTCAGTGTAATGAAAGGCAGTTTAATGTCCGTGACAGATCCAATTAACCATAATAGCTAATTAATGATTCAGAAAAAAATGATCCAAAACTCCTAGTCTGTAGTCTCCTTGACCGTTGCTAGATGATGGATGTGCAGTGTGTCTCAAAAAAATATGCAAACAAAATATAACGGAATGGCAGACGTAGAATGTGTAACCAACATAGATAATATAGGTATGTTCGAAAGATATGCCTTTCCACTTAAAAATGAGACATCAAACGTCCAAATCTGATAATGTTTGACAGAGTTATGTGTAATTGCCCAAGAGAGGTCAAATTGACCACGGGACCAAGTTTTCAATTTTAGGCTTTGGGACAAAGGTGACCTAATTGCCTCTGTGGATAATTGACTGGCCTACAACAAAAATGTGTTTAGCGAGTGAACACAATTTCAAACACTTTCTTGCTATCAGTTTGTAAACATGTTTACGTACTAAACATTTTTTGCATGAGAGACGATGTCGCCTGTGTATCGAGCGAGAGGGAGGACATGTTGAGGGAGAATGGATGTAATCAACGACAGTTTATCCGCAATTCAACACTTGCACATCCAAAATCGATTATCACTGCATTTAAAAACTTGGTCCCACTCCCATGGTCAATTTGACCTCTCTTGTGAAATTACACATAACTAAGTCAAAAATTATCAGATTTGGACGTTTGATGTCTCATTTTAAAGTGGAAAGGCGTATCTTTCAAACCATACCTATATTATCTGTGTTGGTTACACATTCTATGTCCGCATTCCGTTGTATTTTGTTTGCATTTTTTTTAAAGACACACTGTATAAGACTTGAAAAATACATTTTAAGGGTTACTCACTGAGCTCTTAAAATGTCTTTGCCTACTACAATGGCGACGCTGACTTGCTGATTCCTTTATTGCTTTTGTAACTCAGCCTGGGAAGTGTGCAAAATGAGTGAGAAATTCGGCACAGTGACTGTCACCGCCTCTTCTTCAAGTTACGATGCTGCCCTCTTCAAGAAATACAACATCCAGCCAGTAAGTTTGAAATTTTGTATAGTAAAGATATCTCAGTGCTGGAGAATGTGCTGGAGAATGTGGTGTCTTTCATGCTTTTTTATTCGTAGTAACTTCCTTAGTAATGTTTATGCAAAGAGCTATATTAAATTATTACAGCGCTTACTCCTCATTCTTACGTGCGGAGACGCTTTGAAGCCGTCCTGGGCGCAGACATTTTGAATTTATGTGCGTGTTTGTAGAACACAATCAAAATAGATGGATTGAATTTTAAAAGTGTACTCTAAATGCAACGCACAAGTAGAACGTACGCAAACAACTTAAGCGCGTCATGATGGTTTTAACGAAAAAAGTCACGGTTAATCATCTGCAGCAGATACGCGTATGCGTTGCACCGTTTTCGTAGAGCAAAATGAAATGCTCATTTGCTGATCGTGCGTTTCAGTTTTGGGCGTATCGGCTTTGATGACGATGCACTGGTACGGGATACAAACACAGATATGCAAATAGACGTACAAAATACGTACACAATTTCTAGTTCCCATAGGTTTGTGTACAAACATGGATGCGCCCAGCAGGCATCACTTTGTACATGTACATGAGTTAGCGCTCTAAGCAATTTAATATAGCGCTACATGTATGTGTTTATGCCATTCTTTTCTGTTTTTTTTATGAGAATTTGGTAAACTACTTGTGAGTACTCGACTAATCGTGAGTAATTTCTGTGCGAGTACCCGAGTAGGAAAATCCACTACTCGCCCAGGCCTAGTTAACGCCCCATGTATCCAAAGTCTGAGGTACATTTTTTTTCCCTTCAAAATACCGTGCAATAAATCTGCATTCTGACCAGTCAATGCAAGAGAGTATGGTGTTGTACATGTAGCCTTGTTAACCTTTCTCATCAATCTACATAACTCTGTGTGGTTTTCCGCCCATGGATGTGGAATTGTTTCGTTCCAGCAGTAACTTTTTTTCCTTAATTGCTTTCCATTCCTGCGCTTCAGTCTGAAGTGGGCTCTTAAAGGGAAGATCAAATTATCACGAAATACCTTATTAGATTGTTAGGGAATGACAGCCTAAATCATCCTGTAAAGTTAAGGCTCCTGGTGTGCCGACATTTTCAAGAAAAAAATGTATTTTTTCAGCGCTGGTCGTCTGACCAGCATTGGAGAAAACTGGCTCTTTTTCAAAAAGTGCTCCTAATTCTTCATATTTATTTCGTCTGCATTTCTTTGCAATTGATTACACACCTGTTCAGGGGTACAAGCCTGCTAGACTGATTATCTGATCTCTCAATTCCCCAAAGTCTATAAATTGCTCCGTTTCATCTTAAGTGGGGTCAGGGCACCCAACTACAAGAATACGATTGGTTTTCTTGGTTTTTCCAGCATCTACGAACCTAAAACGTGAACAAAAAGTCAGTGTAACAATATTTGCTATAACATACTAATCCTCCAAATCCATTTATTTCTGAAAATTGCAGCAAAAGCAAATGTTGTACATTCCTTTAACTTTTCCGCTAGTATAGACTTAACTTTCCTCTTATTTTGCAACAGTTGAAACTCAACCCACTGAGCGCCTCGCTGGACCTGAACCTTGTCAAGGAGGCTACCATCGACCCGCAACAAATCGCCATATTCAACCATCCGTCCAACAGGGTAGGTACACATCATCCGGTGAATGACTCGTTGGGTAATGGCCCACGACTTATGGCTTGGCTGACTATAATAATAATAATAATAACTATTACCCTGGATTGGACATTTGGGAGACATCCCCATAGACTTGTGCACAAAATTTTTCAAACTTAGATGTGCCCTAACCCAATATTCCCTTGTCCTTTTCCCACGAATTTCGGTATGTTTACTAATTAGACCACGAGCAACAAATATAACCTAATTGCGACAGCACAGTTTTGCCTCTAAAGGGGGGCTGTGACATTAGGGAGATATGAAAATGTCTCCCTAATGACCGATGTCTCCCATCGTGCGAAGAAATTACGATACTGTGTCTCCCTAATGGTACCATTACACGTATAATAATAATAATAACGGGTTGTTATATAGCGCTTTTAACTAATATCAAAGCGCTTTACATTATTACTACCCCTGATCATTGGGCCAATGAAACATTCCAATACCTTCTCAGCTCCCTGGGGAGTATACAGCTCGATGCTGCCTGTTAGGCGCAAGCAAGCTAATTCAATCACAATAACCATCTCTGCCCTCACAGGTACCAATTTACTCCTGGGTGGAGAGAACCAATGAGTGACAAAGTGCCTTGCTCAAGGGCACACGCACCATGATCCCAGGCTGGATTCGAACCCACAACCTGCAGCTTTACCCGCAGACCAAAGCCACACACCAGCAGTATTGTGTAAATGTAACATTGTGGGCACAAACAAAACAAGAAAAATTAGTCGAACTGGTCGTATGGTATGGGCTTTATTCACGAATCGGCCATATTGGATTGAGAGTGAGGTAAAATCTTGATTTCTGGAACTTGTGTAGAGAAATGAAAGCAACTTAATTACTAATTAATTCCAGTCTGCTTCAATGAATACTTTCAAATTTGTAATTAAACGCTCCCTAATGTTTAGCCAGATTTTAAAAAGAAATGACAGTAAAATAAGGCTGCATTGTGCCTGCACAAATAGTCTGGCGACATCCCACTCAACAGTTAACAATTAATGAAATACATTCAGGGAACTCGACAAAAATGGCCAACTTGTGACAGAGGGAAGGATTCATATTAAGGAGGTACATGTTGAAAGTGGTTTGAATCCTGTCCATGGACTTTTTCCCTGTTTTAAAATTTATTTTCCTGTTGGACAAGGTTAACTTTGAAAGATGATTCAATACCTGCCCTAATTTGTAGCATTGAAGTTTGTTATTTTGAAATCCTGTCCATGGACTTTTTTCCCCGTTTTTAAATTCATTTTCCTGTTGGGAAAAGGTTAAGTTGAAAGATGATTCAATACCTGCCCAAATTTGTAGCATTGACGTTTGCTATTTTGAAACTTGGGCTCAATTGAACGAGTGGTGTAGAAATCGGGGGTTTGGTTATCAGCATTATTAGGATGATAAAGTACCAGCACACTTATAGCATGGCATTTCGATGTAGAAACCTCACTTATCAACAAGGTTGGGTTGTTGAAACAGCTGAGCCCTAGCTGTTGGCTAACTGGCCATAAATCACCTGATGGCTGGCCCTAGCCTTAGCCCTGTGGTACAGGTCTGTAACATACCTGACTGGCTAGCCAAAGCCTTAACTATTTCATAAATGGCTAATAACTTTAATACCTGTATCTGATAGCTGCCTAGTGCTAGCCGTAGCCCTTGGGTAATTGTCCATGACTGGCCAGCCATTAGCCATTAGACATTTCTGTAAATGGCTACATTGGGTTAATCTGTGCCTTACGTTATTCTGGCTAGCCGTAAGTCATAGCCCTTGGGGAAATGGTCACTGACTATCTGCACCTGATACCATGCTAGCCCTAGCCTCTTCGCTTGGGTAATGGTCCATAACTTATTGAATGGTTGGCTGGGCCTTGCCATCATCTATCACGCAAATGGCCCGTAAAGAGCCTGACATCATGATCATCAGCGAATGAGGTATTCCAGATTTTGACATTGTAGTCTTTGACGTTTCCTCAAGTTGGCCTGTGGTGAATTGACCAACATTTAAAACACGTTTAAAACCGGCCAGGGGCCTGGACGCTGATATTCGGCTTGAGCCATTATCCGCGACAAGGGGCCAATTTCATAGAGCTGCTTAAGCACAAAATTTGCTTAAGCACAAAAACGTCTTGCTTAATAAAATCATGTTACCGGCTAAAACTCCATGCGATTGTTATGCTAAGTAAACAACAGCTAAATACCAGTCACAAGCAATGTACATCACATGGAGTTTTGGCAGGTAACCTAATTTTACTAAGCAATGTTTTTTCGTGCTTAAGCAAGTTTTGTGCTTAAGCAGCTCTATGAAATTGGGCCCTGCAGGCCCTAGCCGGTTTTAAACGTGCTTGTTTAAACCGGCCGAACATTTGTTCAACAAGTTTACCTCATGTTTCGTGAAACGCCCCTCTTGCCATGTCTATGATATCTGCCTCACGCGCGTAGTGCTAAACATCTCCTTTTATGGAAGGTGGTGCACGCACAGCGCGTATTACGTGATGTGGCGCAGAATGCAGTTGTGCAGGAACAAAGTGTTTAAAACAAGTCAGTGTTTTATCAACCGTTTAAAACCAGCCACGTGACTTGCTCTCGACCAATAGGAATGGGTAAATTGTCTTCTGGTATTTATGAATTTATTTATTAACCCTTGCCCTTACAAGGTTATTTTCTACTACTGACATTCTGGCATTTGTATCCTTGTGGAGTCATTTCTTTGTTTTCTTGTACTAAAGTTTTCGAGTTTAAAAGTGTACTTTCAAAATGCACTATTTTAACCAGAATTAATTTCCTGGGCTCAAATTCGGGCTTAATATCCCTTACATAAAATACTTCAATTTGCGACTGATCAACATGCCTTGGAAATTCCTAGTTTTTGAGTAAAATCCATATATATCTATTTCGTGATAACCTTGTGGAGATGTATTAACCTATAGAAATTGCCCTGTGGAGACGTACACAATCTTTTGTTCCCTGTTGTGCACATGTCTCCAGAGGGTACCGTGTACCAGATCACTATTTGGCACTACAATTTATCTTTTCATGGTAAATTGTAGTTTCGAAGTAATGGCTCCGCGCCTGCACAAGGTAGGGCAGGGCGCGGTTTGACCACTTTCGAGAGCCCCGTGGACGGTACATAGTACCCCATGTACGTTCTGGTTCACGCCTGTATGACTTTCCCAGTGCCTAATGAATTTCTGTTCTGAGCTCCACGAAAATGGGCCAACGAATCCAAGAGACTACCCTACTTCTTCTTGTGAACTAGACACCAAAATGCAGCTGTGAAATCACAAGTATTAAAAAGCCATTCATATTTCATGCTTTCTGGTGCAGGACTTGGAATAAATCCAAATTAATCTACGGATTTAGTTTGATTGATTAGGCAGCTCCACACGTATGGCATAGGCACTGAACGCTGGGGGCCAGCAGCTAAGATTGCAGTCATTGAGCGTATCATTCATTCACCGAATTGCTAGAAAATAGATGGGTCTCTATCTTTAAAAAGGAAAATTTATTAAGAGCCATGAGTCGCAAAGGAAAAGTAAAATTTGTTAATTGAAAATGAGGATTTGATTATTAAAACACACTGAAATGACAGAATTTATATTTGGGAAAGAATGCAGTATACGGACGCCACTTCAACGAACATTTTCCAAGTATTTCCTAACAAAATCGGAATCATGTCTTTTGAGCATTTTTGCAATGACTGACCTTTCTTGAGATGATATGAAGGAAAAAATGGCGTCAGGTTGCAACATTCTTTCCTATATTTGTTCGGGGGAAAATAAAATTGAGTCTGGATTTATTTGTGATACTCTCAATAGTCGCAATGAATTTCTTACCTTTATCGATCCGCCAATCAACAGCTCATTAACTCTGGATGAAATTGCATGTTGTAAGAAATTGCATGTTGTAAGAACTTTACTAGTGAGTTAGTCAGAAAATGTACTTACAGGCTTCCTTGACCGGGACTCATGACCTGCAGCCGCTTTGAACGAAACTTTGCGCTATCGCATAACTCCACTTTACGCTGCATTTTATTGCACAAGTTGTACAACATTCACATCGCGCAACATTTTGATATTCACATTGCATAACATTTCAGTAATGACACATTTCACGAAAGCCCTGCAACAAATTTGTTGCGTGAATCCTACACATGGCATAAGCTACGTGTATGCCCAGTTTTGTGAAATTGGCTGCTGCTTACTCTGATGAATTTTTTACTGCAAATACTTTGATACGTCATCTTTTCAATGAGAAATGCCGACACTACAATGTATTTAAATGTGAAAGTTGTAACTTTTTAACCCCAACTTCCCTGAATCCATCCAAATCCATACCCCTGTTTTGGAGAATTTTGGCGGATTCAGGATACCTCCATATATAAAACTGAAGAATTTAGATGGACTGAGGATTGTAAGCCTAGCAGTACTACAGGATTTTGATGGATTCAGGATGCCTCCATATTTTGATGGAATGAGGATTGTAAGCCTAGCGTAACTGCAGGATTTTGATGGATTCAGGATGCCTCCATATTGAAAACTGGTGAACTTTGATGGATGGACGATTGTAAGCCTAGCGGTACTGTAGGATTTTGATGGATTCAGGATATCTCCATATTGAGCAGTCACCAACTCCTACATTTTTGGCGTGACATAATTGGTGGATTTTGGCAGATTCTAGTAAAGATATCCAAGGGGTTGTGGTTAATATTTGTTTGTTTATTTGTTTGTTTATTTTCATTAACACATTTACAGACATACAACGTGTATATTGTTTAGTGATACCCATACATTTTGGTGTCAAAAAAGGAAAAGAAAACAATACAAAAAGACAGTATGAATATTGACGTCCCTAATATCAAAATTGAGTAATCTTTATTTGGTTCATATTCTTTGCTTGGTCCTTAAAGGTGCACTTCATGCTGCAAGGAGGCTCGGGCCATTTCCTGATCAAACCCAGCATGCCAGGCATTGCAGAAATCAACTACGACGACAAGAGGAAAAAGATTGAGGTGAGAGCATCCCTTTAACTTTCCCGCCACCTCACTGAGGAGTTAAAATGTGACTTGCCATAGCATAATGAGGAATAACCCCAACCATTGACTTTTCACGTTATGTACACCATGTTAAAGCGCAAATCACTGGCTTTCCAATGATACCAAATTTATTGCTTAAACTTAATTTATTCCAAAGATAATGACGCAGGAACTTCAACAGTGTCCTGCCAAGTTTCGCTAACCTCATTTCGAGAAAAACGACTTTGAAAAAAGACATGCATTGTGCTGCCAACAGCAGTGAAAAAAAGTTCTTCAGTTTTCCCACTTTTGAGGGTGTTTTTTTACAACAAAAATGCATAGTGTGAACCTTGGATACCTTGGCTACTCAAAAATACAGAACAGTCAAAACGATTTTCACATTGTTTTTCTAGTATATCCGACTTCAGGCGTCGATTACTCAAAACAAGGTTTTGGGGGACATTCCTCATTTTGCCTTAGTAGGTCACGAATGATCTCAAAGGTAACCATCCAAGCTTATTAAAGAATTAATATTAAAGAACATGCAATTTTAGTCAAATTTTCTTGCAAATGACTTTACTTTTTTTAACAAAACACTCTGCATTTGTGGTTTTCCAAGAATATATATTTTTTACTTTGATGCATGCAAAGATTGATATACGGAAGAGTGTACATAGAAATTATTCAAAACTGGAAACTTCATATGTTTCATGTACTTTATTCCGGGCCAATGTTATGTGCCTATGTTGGAAAGCCCATTATTGATATTATGCAGGAAGTATCAATTTGCATGAACAATGTTGAAATTCATTTTTTCAAAAGTCCCACACCCAAGAAGCAGAGACATACAAACTTCAAAGTACATGTATTAGTCAGTACTTGGTTGTTAAAAATGCTAGTCCCTTGCTCTTAAACAAAACAGGTTTTTTTTCTTCTAGCAGAGAAGTTTGTATATTATAAATGAAAAAGGCTTTCATTTTGTACACAATTGGACCCGCTCTGCGAGAACCGAATTATTGTCTGTCCACTAATTATGACAATTTTGTGAAGAAATAGTTCAATAACCAAACATCAGTGCATTTTTTTTTTCACGCGAAAAAGTGAAGAACTCTTTATTATTGCTACGAAAATAGCAATTGAGTAAACAAATCTATATTTCTATAAGATTTGAGGCTTTGCATGGCGGGGTATCGGTATCGTTTCGGTTTGCGGTAACACCATGTGGTAATAACTACTGCTTAGAAGATATTAGTTCTGAAAAGAACTTGTCCTGCTTATTATCAATTGTTCTGATAAGAACAGTCCTGCTGTAAGTTCTAAACGAACTTGTCTTTAGTCTCAACGTTTCGACTAGCCTGCTCTAGTCATCGTCAGGAGAAAGTTCTTTTCAGAACTAATATCTTCTAAGCAGTAGTTATTACCACATGGTGTTACCGCAAACCGAAACGAAATCTATATTTCGAGGTGAAACGTGAAAATAGCACGGGAAATGCATCTTCAACCTATTCCTTTCAATCCTGTTTTGTTTACAGGTGGCGCCCATGCATGACGGCACTTTGACCCTGACGGCCTTTGACCTTTGCTTGAAGACTTCCCAGCATGCCTCAGCGGAGATCCACATAGCCGGGGTCCACACCATTGAGCTCAAAGTTGTGGACAAGGTAGGGGCAATTTTATAAATGTTTTCAATTGTTTTAATGATTTTGTTTTTAAATTTAAAATCCATAGAGATTAAAAGTTAAATTTTTACAATAATTGATGAATGATAACAATATACCAAAGCTAGATTTGCGTATTTGTGAAGAGAATATTTAGGTGCATGCTCTCAGCCAATCACAAGTGATGTAAAATCCAAGTTCTTGCAATTCAACATGACACATCTTTCCCGATAGGTCCAAGTTGATCATGATATCACAGCGGCAGTCCAGGTGCTAGACTCCAAAGCTAGATTTATGTATTTGTGAAGAGAATATTTTGGTGCATACTCTTAACCAATCACAACTGATGTAAAATCCAAGTTCTTGCAATTCAACATGACACGTCTCTCCCGATAGGTCCAAGTTGATCATGACATCACAGCGGCAGTCCAGGTGCTAGACTCCACCGGTCAGCCGCTCTCGGTCTCCTACTTCCCTCTGATGAATCTGGAACCCAAGACTGGCTCTGACATCATCACCATAAGGTAGGCTGGTTTTCGAGACTACTTTTTTTTTCATCATACAGCGTACATGTTTGCTGCATTTTTGTATGACTGTGATAGTTTGATCCCACCACTTTGGGCGTATTCGAAACTCCGTTCTCGAGTGACCCATGAACAGTGTTCTTGTGTTGCTGATTACAATGCTCAAGTGCATGTGGAGTGCAGCTGGGCAAAAATTCCAGATGGCAGCCGCCGTACAAAAACGCTGAATCAAAAGAAGGAAAAACCAAGGATCTTACGAATATCTGCTCCATTAACAAGTACCTCCTCACCGACAAAGAAAGTACAGTTGGGGGTGACCGAACAACGCCATCTTGCCTGACTACAATATTTTGACTGCCTGTACATTGTAAAAATGCCCTGGTGTACGTGTGTGACACACAAGGAACGGTGCTAGGTAAAAGGGTGCCCTGTTTTGTTCGCGCACGGAGCCCATATTTTAAATCCTGGAACAGCTATAAAAAATTGGCAAAGACAAGCGCACTCAGTGATCACGTAGTATTTTTTTTTTTTTATCGTTTAAAGTATAAACATTTGTGTACAGCTCCTGCATCGAATGAGTGCTTTAAATTTTATGCACAAAAATTAACGCACGTTGCGGTAGGGGCCTAAGTCTGCCATCTTTGTTGTTTGTGTTCTTGATGTTCTTCATCTACTCCCATTAAGTGGGTCCAGAGTGATATCCTGTTCATGAACACCGTTCGCGTGTTGGTTCTCGTCATTCGAAACCCCGTTCTCGTGTTCATTCTACACGAGAATTTGGTTTCGAATACGCCTTTCAAATATGTACTTAAAAGTACTACTCCTGTACTGAGTGAGTGCTTTCAATTTTATGCACAAATATTAACGCAAGTTCCGGTAGGGGCCTAAGTCCGCCATCTTAGCTCTCGACGTTCTACATCTACTTCCCAATAAGTGGGGAGTGAGAATCTTGTTCGCGAACACTGTTCCTGTATTGGTTCCCATCATTTGGAACCCAGTTTTCGTGTTACTCAACAAGAGAACATGGTTTTGATAACACCCTATGTCTAGACCCGAAGGGCAGCCCTATTGTCCTGAGACTGGGTTTAATCTAGACTAACGGACTGACTGTCCAAGTCACTGAGTGTCACTATCAATAGTGTCATATTAAAAATGGACTTTCGGGCATGCGAGACTAGACAAGTTAGTCTGAGTATCACCCGTTATCCACGGAGCAAGTCTCCTAACGTCTGATATGTCTAGACATGCATATGCAAGCCGCGCGCCAACCAATTGGAGTTGACCCAACCAATTGGAGTTGACCTTACTAAATCGTGATGTCATTTCATTCCCAAATCAGGACTAAATGGTTTGATTGGTCAACTTGAATGCAGTGTTTTGTAATACAATGTTTTGTTTGACTGTACAACAACAGCCGGGGGCATATGCGTGTAACATGATACAGGGTGTGTGACACAGGATTTTTTTATCCATGTCTATGACGGGTGAATGACCGAAGACCAGATATAGAAAGCGCCTGCTGATTGGTCAAAATTTAGAGGTCAAGAAGCGGTTGTCTTGCCTAATTAATCAGTGAATCTGCTCGTAACATAGACCACGTCATTCACCGTGGTCTATTACATAGACTATAGACAAGCCTGTTTCAAGACCAAACTGTCCACACAATCGATATTTTTTTTGTACTGCAGTTCTTGCATTGCAATTTTTGTCCCAGCTGTCCTCTTTTCAGCCTTTGCGTTGCTGTTTGTTTGTAAGGCTAGTTCAAATTTCTGTATTCATAATCAAAATAGTGATGTCATCAGATTGACCACACAATGCATACATGTAGTGCCAGACTTGTCTATTTTGCGTGTGTGTTTCTTACATATGTACGGTGTCGAAGCTGATTTACATGTTCAGTATGCGTAATGTGTACAGTATACATAAATCTGAGGAAAAAATAAGAAAGTTGGTAGATTTGTACATGAACTAAATTGTACAATAACACTATTAACCTTACCAACTCCATCAAAATCCCCCCCACCCTTACCCCCATTTGGAGGATGTTGGCAGACAAGCCATGTGTGCCTATTCCATTAAAATCCACCAGCACCAGTGGTGGATTTCAACAGATTTAGTCCTGAAGCATGTGAATCAGAGTGAGTGATGGATTTTGACGGACATTTTTTTCTACTTAGTAAAGCGTTAGGGTTAAGTGCCTTTATGTACATCACAGTTCCGATACATTTTTTTAACAGCGCCCTCTGGTGTCAGGAAATAACAGAGACATTATAAACAGTAAAAGAATTAACTTTAAAAGAATATTTAAACCACAAAATATTGTTGTATTAATAGCTGATGATTTTGCCCCCAAACAACGGCCCCCTTTTTTTTGGGGGGGGGGGGGGGTGAGGGGCTGAAAAAAATTGGAGATAAGAACTGGACTATTTGTCAAATGCTACCGTAGTATGCATTTTCTGAGACTTATTCATTCAAATCCTGCTTTTTATATTTTTTTTCAATTTGACTGCAAAATTTGTTAAAAAAATAATAAAAAATATAACTGCTTCCCAACTGTAGTGACCTAAAAGATTCCTGCAGAATTGAAATGTCGTGCCGTCAAAAGAAAATGACTAATAGTCCCTTCACGAATGGACAGTGGCCAGCGTTCTGCAACGATGCACTCACGTACAAATTCTTGCCGCAATTCATTTCATGGTCATTTGTCGGGAATAGTACTGTTGCAATTCCCACAAACGAGGCTTTACTCATCATCAGCATTCCCTCATTGCCAAGCACTGACCTGCAAATTACTGAGCTGATACGATCAAGATATTTACTTCGTTTCTTCCATCAATAATGCAAAACTCGCTGGCGCCGGTTTTTTTTTTTATTCCCGTTACGCCTTTCTCTAATAAAGTGGTTCGACCTTTCTAAAAGAGCGTTTTTTCCATGTCTGACCTTTTCTCATGCGAAGATACTAAAGTTATCAGATGCATGCGTCATTCTATAAATGTGATCGGCTTCACAAAATATGGTATACATTAAGTCACGCTGAGCATTATTGTGTATTGGTCCGCTCAACATTGAGAGGGTGAAAATTTTGTCAAAATGTGATTTTTGTTTTTTGTCATGAATGTCATCTTTAATATCTACAGTTTTAAAGTTTCATTCACATAAATGTTGATTTTGATGAACAGAGTGGGAAAAACATCCATTTTGTGTGCATCGTTCTGTTGTTCTTCAACAACGGCAGCTATTTCAAAGCCTGTTTTCTCAGTTGTGTAATTTGAACTCCAAGGAGTAATTTATATGCAAACACGTCATATCTCCAGAATTGGATGTGCTAGGGAGCTCTATTAAACACCAAATAAAAGATTACATTATGGGCTTTCCAACCATGTACGGTATATAACTCAATTTCACTTTTTTGCGACACAATACCCTTTTTTGAGGAGCCAGTCACAAATTTAGGGTCCGCTATTTTTTCCTGTCCCTGTTACATCTGACATTTATGATTTTATAATTCTGATGTCACAGTCTTTAATATTTTCCTCCAAGAGTGATTATGAATAGCAAACAACAGGTCTATATGTACCCAACTACATTTTCTTTTGTAAATTAAAAATCATTTGAAGCCATTCTTAATGCTACTTCAATGGCAAATTACAAAGTACCAGCGTAGCAGGAAAAACGTCACACTTTGGAACCAAATTTCATAGAATGACATAATTGTATTTTTTTTTTAGGCTGTGGCTCTACATATAAAGGGGCACTACCGGTAGGTCCTGAAATCTCCGAAAATTTCATGTTTTGGATTGTTTACTTATCCTATTTTAAACATGTGGTTGAAAGGAAACAAACCTAATGTCTTAAACCCCGGTTGTTTACATCGGACACGACGGAGTACGAATACGTTTTTTCGTGTCGTTCTCATACAGTGTATGTATGATATACACGTTGTGTGTCTCGGGAACAGTGGTGACCAATCACCAATGCAACAAAATTGTGGTTTCTTCAACATCCGCAAAAGGCGGACATTTTACGCGTACGAATGAAAATCACAACTAGCATCCAAACGGCTCGAATTTATGGGGTCGCAAATGTGGACCCCGAAATTCGTTCTCGCACGCATAATACAGGAATAACACAAAAACGCCCAGTTTTTTTAAAGAATAGTTGTGTGGATGTTTCTATCCTAGTTTTACTTGTTCTTTCCGGTTACCATAGTCTCGTTCAATGCGCGTTTTGTAGCCCAATGGGGCTGTTCCAGGACCTAGTGTCCCTTTAATGTTCTTATCATTTAAAAACAAAACTCCTGAACATTTAAACATGAAAACAGAATGATGGCAAATCCGACATGATGGTAAAACAATAAATTCTCTTGATTTAATTCATTTCAAAACAATATATGTCAGTGCTGGAACCAGAACAATAAATGTTTTTTCCCTTTTTTTTCTGTTTACGAATATTAATATCTTTCAGCAAGATGTTTTTATGTATAAATTTGTAAATAACCAACTTCCTTGATCGTTACACAACCTTTTCAATTTAATAGATCCATACATGATTATAATACTAGGTCCTTGTCCAAATTGTATGCCTCAAGTCAAAACAACTCTTTCTCAACATACCATTTCTTTCTCCGGACCAACAAAACTGGAACTGTCTTTCACCGTCTTTAACTAATTGCCCTTCAAGTAATACATATGTACATTCAAATATAAACTAGCAACTTTCTTACTTAATTCTCAGAGTGCCCGATTCATTATTAAGTTGGCTTAGGCCAAAAAAAGAAAGTCTCCGGTTTCTGGTATGTGTTTCTGTGGTGCGGCGACGCGGCTTTTTTTTTTTTACCTGTCTTTTTTGCTTCAAATGTCGGTTGATGATTGCAAATGGTGCCCGACTAAACTTAGTGCAAATGTATGGGAGTCCGGAGAGGCCACATAAAACTTATTCTCGATCATAACCCCATCTAAAAACACGTTATAATTGTGCAGCAGCAGGATTCCAGTCAAACCAGTGAGT